GTTCAAAGTCCATAGAACCAATTGGAAAGTTCACAGTGGCGGCAAAACATTTCACAGCAATTTGAATTTAGAATATGATATTCATTATTACTAGCCAGTCAGTAAACGGCAATACATCTAAAGCCGTTAAAAATAAAAAATAAACTATCCCTTATCTATAGAATGCCAGCTATATTTATAGAAATAGAGTTACCTATAATATTACGCCTCTCGAAGCGATATAGAGGGTCGCCAGTTTTAAAAATACTGTTATCTATTTTCTTTTTAAATAACTATATACATATAAGTATTTCTATAAATTACAGTTCTACACAGTTATAGATTTAAAACAGCAAAAGAGTTTAATCTTATAAAAAAATTCTTCATGACTGAATTCCTTTTAAATTTCCAATACGTAGAAATTTATGAATTTTTTTTAACTTCAAAATTTAGATAACATATTTTCTTTTGTATAAACAAACATTATAAATACTTATATTAAAAAAAATACAATCTAAGTATGTGCTGACTTCATTTTAAAGATTTCCCTAAGTGTGTGGATATGAATTTGTTTCCTAATTACGTAATTTAAAATAAACATCAGATTGAAATTGTTTATTTTATTACTTCCTATTACAAATTGACTTTTTTGAGAACCATTATGGAATTTTGAGATATCATCAAAAATAGACTTTGTAGTTATGTAAATAAGGTACACCACAGATAGATTACAACACTCATATAAAGACCGTGAGGATATTGCAAAGATTGAACTAAAAGCATATTGTTACAAACAATACGACGACAATGTTACCCAACGGAGGCCAAACGGATGACGTCACAGTCCAAAGTCCACTCCACCAATTGGAAAGTTCAATAGTAGTAGGCAAAACATTTTGCAGCAATTAGAATTTAGGATACCCATTACAAGACCATTGTTTGTGGTCGGCCTACTACTGGTGTAGGTATACAAGTAGAATACTGTTGGGATTTACTGTATAAAAAACAATTTATAATAAATCGATAATTTCTGTAAGTAAATCGATTAAAAATTGTTTTTATAGAATCGATATTTTATTCACAACCCTATTGTTTGAGTGCAATGTGTCTGTATTCTAAATAAATGCATAATCTCTTATTTTTACACAATCCATAATATAAGAGTTGTTTTCAATAATTCTCATATAATTTATTTGCAGGCACGCTAATAATTGTGTAATAGTGTAACAGTTGTGTGTAATATTGTGTATAGTTATATTTATAGTAACTGAACAATCATAATTGAGTATTATTAATTTCAGTAGGTATATACTCGTACTATACAATAACAGTTGCACAATAATTCTGCGTGTAAGCTTTCAAAGTGGGCCAATTAAATCGTCTATATAAACTGCAGTTGTCATTGTATTATTGCAAAATTTCAACGCATTTATTCAATAAATTTTGCAGATTTTACATTAAAAACTAGACCAATTTAAAACAAAACCTTACTATAATACTATTTGCATAGTCAGGTACTAGGACAGCATAAAATTGAAGAACAAACGAAGTAGGTAAATTCTCTCTTAGCAGTTTACTCGTAGGTACTAGGGCAGCAAAAAATTTAAGAATACAGTATGATTTACTAAGTAGATAAGTTTTCTCTTCACTATTTTCGTTGTACTCTTTACTAGAAGACTATTTAAAATAAAACCTCGATATTTATAATCATACCAATTTACATAGTTGTAGGTACTAGGGCAGCATAAAATTGAAGTATGACTTACTAAATAGGTAAGTTCTCTCTTAACAGTTTACGCTGTGACCTCTTTGCGCGGCTAATTAAAATGAGTATGTTCTCATAACGTAGTTAAAAATAACAGACGCGCCCGTGGTGAACTTTGGAGTGCCACTTTATAGTTGGTATTAGTTAGACACCCTAGCATTCGTTTTTAAATTAGAGGCTGCGTATTTTCCTTGTTCCTTATAAGTAATATCTCGTTAATATGAGGATATAGTGTCATTTACATTGACAGATGTGTAATTAAAAGAAAAACTAGCTTAGATCTAGTAATGTATTAAAAATAAACTTAATGAGTAAATTAAATACTCTTAAGGAAATATTACTGAAGATTAAGATGTATGCTCTTGTACCTTTGCCTTACCGCTTATGAGTAAAAAATATAGTACGATAAATTAAAAACATTGTACATATAAATTTAAGTAGTTATTTAGAAAAATAGATTTAGATTGAGAATATGATCTCCAGAATAAGGTCGAGGTAAAAACCTCAAGGTTTCAACATTTAACGCCAGCTGCATTTGGTTCTATTGTAAGATTCAGGTTTTTATTGTTGTAATGTTGACTTTGCTTACAAAATTACGTGTTTAATCTGAATATAAAAGTAGGTAAGCTGCTAAACCCTGATATTAGTAACACAAATTAAATAGGGAATTAAAACCGATGTATCCAAATTCCATTAGCCTACATTTACATTCACTCTGTCAATAATAGTATCAATTAGATTGTATTCATTTCATTACAATTGCAACAATGTTGTTATCTGCCAGTAGAATAATCTTGTCCGTCATTATTTTGTCTACCTTGAAGATTAGTGGCTTTTTTTTCTACCTAGTTCTCACAAAGCGTCTACTAGTCATATACTTATCTATTTAACCTTTGTATTGTTAATTTATTGGAACTACTATTATTTTCCTTCGCGCCATTTTCGCATGCTCAGGTCTATTTTTTTTTATTAGAAGTCATTGTGGTTTAGGTATTTTAACTATGAGGATATAAACTATTATTATTCTATGTTATTGTTGTATTATTTATTATATATTATTGTTTAAAGGAGCAAGGAAATTTCTTGATTAATCTTTTTGGCTGATTACCGAATGAGGCGTAAGCGTAAGTATATTTAAAAATTGTCAACTCAAATTTATTGCTTAGTATCTTTATTCTACGAGTATAAACTCATTTCTAATCTGCTAATGAAATGCAATGTACCTTGCCGTTCCCATTTGTATAAAACTACATTCAACAATAATAAACTCGAACTTGTAATTTTACAAACTCTTTCAATGGTGTTCTCTACTTGATTTTAAACTACAACACCAAGGCGTTAGAATTTAATTTTGAATGTTGAAATGCATCGTGTTTCGATCACGCAGCCTGCACGTGTTCGCTCACGGCGAGTTCACAGCTGTTCGGTTGGACTTTGGACCCAGCTACAATCACCGGCGATTTGTAATGTCTTGCTCGATTTAGCTGAGGATGGATTTTATTGCTATCTCCGACTATAATTACTAAATAGGCCTCCACTAATAATATGAATGTTGGCTAACAAAACAGAATAGATTTAAAAATGTACTTTTAGATAATCCGTGTAAATAAAGTAGGTATCTAGGTTGCCTACATACTTAGGAAGTAGTATTATCTTAAAATTATTAGTATAATACCTAATAAGTATTATTCTGATTATTACAGGGTAAGTATTTATTTATTACCTAACAAAGCAATAACCTACGCTTTGAGATTATTATCAGCGACGTTTCGACGTTTTCACTTAGACTTTCTTTACAATGTTGTTTTGTTGATATTTAGTAGGCACACCTTTCAATTGAACATTGTAATTTATGTATCCTACTCAATTCTAATGAAAAATACCTATAAAAGTGAGTCAATCAGTTTTACGTACTTACAAATGTAGATTAAAATATTTGCCTATCTACGTAATGTAAGTAGGCATCTATGTATCATATATTAATTGGACTGTTTTATACTTAAACTTACTTATAGACATTTATATTTACTTATTGTAGCAAACCTGTTAATCTGCATTAATGTATTATAATACTCGCTTCTGAGTGACATGATGATGCAAGAAACTGAATGTCTATAAAATGAAATTCACACATAAGTAGGTACATGCTACTTAGCGGCTACCTATGTATATTGGAGTCCGGCCAAAAACCTCGGTAGAAATGTTTTGGCGCCTAAATTTTTATATTTTCTTTACAAATAACTAACGCAAAGGAAATTAAACCATAATGCTATTAACATTAACGTCTATTATCATTTGAAGAAAAATGCGCTGTTAATAGATTATAATCATTTTGTACTTTGAACTTTGTCTGGTTGGAAACAGGTAGGAATCTATGCGAGTACATGTTTAGGATGCAACAAACGGCACTTAGTGGCACAAATAAAGTATGTAAAGACCACCTTATGGTAACGGTATTATGGTAAACGCTGCATACAGATCAATATTTTGTTATGTACAAGCAGTACAAGTTTTCTAATTGCCAATGAAGTAGGTACCTATATTGACTGGATTCTTTTATAAGGTTACATTTGTTGGAGACTGTTTGGCTGGAACCCTGAAGTTCATTAACATTTTTTCATTATCATAGGATTCGTCATACGATTAATTAAATCTATACAAAACATATTTGTACCTGATACGTATGATTAAGTAAGTATAACAACTTACGCAACATTTAATTAAGTTTATACCAATTTTGATTTTTTTACAGATCTATAAATTAAAAAAAAATGTAAAGTTAAAAATATAAATGGGTTTATTATAATAGATCACGTCGGTAAGGCGTGAACGCAGCGCCTTGCCATGCCGTTTGCCGGGTCCAAAGTCCACAAGGTAACACACTGACGTCGTGTCGATAGCGCGAACGTGCTTCATACAATGCTTTTGTAACAAACTAGTACTATTTCTCATACTTATTATAAAATATCGCAACAATATATTTTTATTATTTATTTAAGAACTATTACAATTTTAAAAATAATAAAATAATTTAATTTATTAATGTAAACAAACGAAACTACATGCAATATGTCCTTGGCCCTTTCCAAGTATCTGGATATTTTTATTCTAAATTTGAAATTTAAAAAAATAGCTTGAGTAGTATGTAGTACATAAACATTATAGATTGAAGCCAACAAATTGCCAACGAATATGTATGTGATTGTAATAGTTTTAAAAATACCAGTCTTGGTAAAATTAGATATAAGAATCTTACCTTCTCAAGGCACTCCTGTCCAATGGAATTGGGGTCAGCCTTAACTTCAAGGATCACAGAATTAGCCTGACTTATTAACCACATTTTGAATATTTCGGAGAAAACCGTAAATTATTAAAGGAGGTCGCGATTATAAAACGTACCGATGCTATTCAAACATTAACACTTTGTTTATTGATTATTGTTTATCTCACTCTCGTAAAGTATTTGTTTAAAAATGTCTTTCGTAATTCGCTCTGAGCAATGTTTATCGCGTATTCTTTGTGGAAGTAAAACTGTGAATACCTCCCAACGACGGCCATACTACATTAAGTTTGCCACCGAAATGATAAAGAAAACAGTGACGTGACGTACTCGGAACACTCACCATGTCACACCGCGTCATTACTATGTCAATCAAATACAATTACACTGTTTACATTGCCGCCTATGTATTTACGCGAAACAATCATGTTAAAGCAAACACAGTGATGTATATTGTTGTGATTAACTAAACAGTACGCTTGTAGAGAGTGGGGTTTACATGCTATTTCATTTTATACAGTACCGCTAGAGTAGGATAGAAGTATTGGAGACCATTCCCCCTAGCAGAGGACTAGCTGTGAAGGGAATTTATGATTTCTAACCGACTGTACATTACGATTGTATTGTGTTATTAACAGTTTTGTTAATGGATTATAATGAAACGGTGCACCGGCTGCTAACGATTTACCCTGGCACTAGTGGAGAATAATAAGATGAGCATGAGGTTAGGTCAGTTTGTACATCGTGAAAAATTCACCACAAATTGGTCGACCTCCTCGCGGTTCCCCATGGAAACTATCGTAATAAATTCTTGGTGAATTTGTGATGATGGGTTAACTGACTTAACCTCAAGCTCATCTTATCATCCTCCACTAGTGCCCCGCCAGCGTAAACCGTTAGCACAGGGGGAGGGGATTATTAGTAATGAGGACTCATAATACCATTACTAGCAATGCACCCTGTCAGGTTGACCTCCACGCGGTTACCCCTGGAAACAATCGCGATAAATTCCTGGTAAATTTGTCACGATTGGCTAACTGACCTGACCTCATGTTCATCTTATCATCCTTCACTGGTGCCCCGCCAGCGTAAACCGTAAGCGCAGGCGGGTGCACCATTCCATTATCAAAAATAAAAAAAAAACCGTTAGCACAGGTGGGTGTATTATTCCATTGTCATCCATAAAAAAAATCATGATAGTTTCCAGGATAAAAAGAGCTTAATATATAACATGTAAATACTATAATTGAATAACTGAAATTAAAAACAATTTCCCTGTAATTCTTTTTACTAATCAATGTTGTTAATATATTTTGTAACAGGAGCTGGCTCAGCTGTTGCTGATATAAGCGGCTTCTTTTGCCAACTTTGTACGTTTTTTTCTTCTTTGTGTATGTTTGGTAATCTGTTACTGTTGGCAATAAAGGTTTTATCTCTCTATCTAAATTGTATTCTAATTCAATTTAAATTTTTTATGGTACCTAATACTTGCAATGTCTTTGTAAAATCCTGTCAGTTTACAATATATTACAAATACTGTTCATGTATATATGATATAATGATTAGCACCTATATAATGTTAGGTATGCGTTTGGTAGAAAATTTGGATATTTTAATCAAGAAGAGGAGATTATATATCTGTCCCTTATTTTGTCCATTTGGCAAGGTACAGTGTCGTGCCCCCACTTGTTCACAATGTTTGTAAACATAATCAAAGTTATTATATAGGCACGCCCAGCTGTACCCTATACAAATTAAAGCATAATTTATACCTGCATGACACACTTCAGCCGCTTATGTAAGTAAGCTTTTTATTGATATTTTTTTCCTACCGCCCATCTCAGTCCATAGAAACAGTTGAAAATAACTGGCATGAAACTCAACTGTATTGATATATTTATTTCTTTGTAAAGTATAGTAGTTAACATAAATTAGAATGTGTAACTACTAATTAAAATACCGTAAAATTTTATTATAGAAGCAGAATAGTGACTACTAAACCTCACCGATCAGCAATCTATAGGTACCAATTTATTAGCGGAAATTGACATTAAGTTAGGCTTTGATCAGTATTGTTAAATGTTTGGATAGAAGTTTTAATTTATATAAAGGTAATTCCAGAATATCCTTTCTAGAATACCGCATATTATTTTAATTATTATTTTTATTGTTATTGATAATAGTGAAACAAATACGACATTTATATGTTACGGACTACAATAACTTCGTAATAGAAAAACGCGTGTCGCAAAGCAATGTCTAAGGTTAGTGTGCATAAACGCACAGACAAAGAGATTCTCTAAGAATACCATATGTTTACTTTCATTATGATAAATAGGCATTTCTAAAACATATAATCAATAATTCTCTTATAGATATCATCTGTATCACGTGCGAGTGAACGAGTTAGGCGCCATTTTCTCAATATATTTTTTTTTAATGACGCAGAGGTAAATGTACAATATCTATGCTGCCGAAACGGCTGGGTTTTTCTTATAATTTTTAAATTAATCAGTCACATGTACACATTTCTTGGGTAAACACAAGTGTTAACATGACGGCGTAGTTTTGTTACATGACATATGTTATAGATTTACAACAAAACTGGTGAATATATGACAAAGTAACAAAAACCCAAGTATTCAGCCTACATACTGTATTGACGGTCACATGTTCGATTCACGTGCAACAAAGTCATTTGTATTCACAGTGTTTTTTCTATGGATAAAAATAGCAAGGTGTAACCTCCTGTGCTATTTATTGGTATAGGAGTGTAGGATGATAGCATCAGCATGAAGTCAGTTTTTTTAATATTATCTGTGGTTTTTTTAATGGATGATAACGGAATGGTACTGACGGTGTACGCTGGCGGGGCATCAATGGATGATGATAAGATGAGTATGAGGTCAGGTCAGTTAACGATATCGTGGTGGCGAGTTCACGTGGAAATAACATGGTTTTGAAATGGGATAGCATGAAAGCCGAGGGACATGATGGCGCTGCATGATATTGGTTTTTTGTGTATGCGATTAATTATAAAGTTTGCTAGATGTAAAGGCAACGGTTACCACTTACCGTCAAGTGAGATTTTAGCTTGTATGGCATTATATAGAATAGAAAATCATTTATTCAAATAAACTTAATTTAAGCACATTTGAATAGTCAACATTTTTTTTAATCTACCGCTTATTCGGAAAGCTGTCTCATCACAAGAAGAATAAGCAAGAAACTTGTGTGTTGCTCTTTTAAACAATCCTTGTAAGTTCACATTTTACGAAACGTGTGAATACAACCAACCAACCAGCACTAATTTATTTAGGCTCAATTATAAAAATGTAGAAACACAGTAAGATTAATAATAATGCACCTCCCATTTCAATCTCTGTATATAGATATGGTTGACTGAGAGAAATTCTGCCAAGTGCACCTTTATTTTATACCTGTGTGAAAGATGATATGGTGAGAAAGGGAGTAAATAACGGGATGACTGCGAACAGAGATGAATGGAAGAGAAAAACGTATTACGACGACCACAAATAAATGGGATAAGGAAGAGGCAGATGATGATGATGAATAAAGTTAAAGAAGTTTTAATAAATGAATATACGTATCCGTATATATTTTTTGTTAATATTAATGTTATTTACTTTAGTCGTGAATTACCACCATTACTATTATATAAACGCTATATAAATTCTTATCTTCTCTGAACGCCGTACTGCCGCCGTTACTTTTTTAAAATATTTTGAATAATTTATAATTTACAGTTTATTAAAATGAAAGGCCATTTTATGAAATCTGCGGTAGCCTACGTGGTACCATATGTCTGACAATTGCAAACTTGCTTTGACATCCACGATATAGGCATAGCCTAGTGTGGAGTTATAGATAAAATCTTAAGTTTTCCGAAATAAAAGCATTCTATTTCTAATTTTAAAACATTTGTAGGAACCTACTATACTAGATGTGACATTGGACTTTGTAACTTCTGGTATACCTACTTAATTAGAATAAATTAATAAAATTAATATATGTACTGTTTAGTATGCAATATTATATTGCAATTTAATACGCAAAGTCTGCATCCGTTTGTTTAACTTATCATGTGGCTGTCTAACTACGAGTATACAAAGTACTAGCTGATCCGCGCAACTTCGTCTGGCTATTTTGCGCAATATACATATCTTTTTAAATTACAGCCTATGTGTATGTGTTATTCTGATGTATAAGCTATATTACTGTAAAGTTTCATCAAAATTTGTGCAGTAGTTTTTGCGTGAAAGAGTAACAAACATCCATCTATTCATCCATATTTATGCGAGTAGTCTAAATATATATAACTCAAAGGTGACTGACATAGTGATCTATCAACGCACAGCCCATACCACTGGACGGATCGGGCTGAAATTTGGCATGCAGGTAGATGTTATGACGTAGACATCCGCTAGGATTTTGATTAATTCTACCCCCAAAGGGATAAAATAGGGGATGAAAGTTTATATGAAACTTTGTCAATTATAAACCGATCGGGCTGAGACTTTGCATGCATAAAGCTACTATGACGTAGGCATCCCCTAAGAAAGGATTTTGATAAATTCCACCCCTAAGGGGATAAATTAACGCGAGCGAAGCGGCGGGCAAAAGCTAGTATTAGCATGTAGTAAGATATATACTAGCTCTCCCGGCAAACGTTTTCTATTTAAAATTAGGGTTGATGGTAAAAGGGTTAAAAATGTAGGGTCGTGTGTATTTTTAATGCCGAATAATAATATAAAATAAAAATTATGTAATAAAATATGTTTTTTTTTATAACCCCTTATCACTTAGGGTATAAAAAATAGATAAAAAATTTAATCACAATCAATGTAGTAGATCGATTCCATTGTGGACAAACAATATGACAAGTGAAATTTTTATATACGCCGATTTGTTTTATATAATTATAACTAACGTAAACAAACTGACGTCCCATCTGATGATAAGCTGTAATCGCCTATATATATAAACAGCACTATGTAGTATGTACATCACTATATCATGTGACACCCGTGATACCATTCATGCGTTGCCATTCCGACAGCATGTCCAACATTGGTTGCGACAGCCTCGGTGGTCTAGTGGTTTAGCACACCGTTTTACTATCCGGTGGTCGTGGGTTCCATTCAAACATCCAAACATTTGTATTCATGAGTATGATTGTTTGTATCGGTCTGGGTGTTTTCTATGTATAATATGTATTTATTTACAATAAAATGTATCCATGTATTTATATCAGTTGTACCCATAACACAAGATCTGCTTAGCTTGGGACCAGATGGCGTTGCCCATGATGAATTGTCCTGAGATATTATTATTACAGCAGACTAAGATGCCATGTTTCTTACCCTGTAACCTATGTTTCTTACCCTTACTTCCGATGACCGTGGGTTCGATTCCTCGCACGGTGCAAACATTTATATTCATGAGTATGATTGTATGTATCGGCCTGGGTGTTCTCTACGTATATTATGTATTAATAAAAAATATATATATATCTAAATGTTTATATCAGTTGTCTAGTGCCCATAACACAAGCTCTGCTTACCGGGGAACTAGATGGCGCTGTGTATAGAGTTATTTATGTATTATTTTTTTAATTTTGCCATAAGGCAGTTTGAATTCACACCAAAATCTTTAAAAATGTAATTGAAATCATTTATATAAAAGAGCAACACGCAAGTTTCTTGCTCGTTCTTCTTGTGACGAGTCTATGTCCCGAATAGTGATGGAATAAACAATATGACTATTCAAAAGTGCTTATACCTAGTAAGTATATTGGAATAAAGATTATTTCTATTTCTTTTATAATCGAATAGACTAAACAAAGACTTTATAGACCTAGCAGCTATGATGACAGCGCTATTATTTGTATTATGTTTGTCTGGTACCTACGGGGAATGGCAGGTAAAGGGAGGTGAAGATATGAAATCTGTTATAGCTATTTATGTACATATGTAGTTATTTTTATAGCATACCAGCTACTCGCCCCGGCTTCGCACGAGTGTAATGTATTATATATATACCTTCTTCTTGAATCACTCCTATTTAAAAAAATCGCTACAAAGTCCGATGCGTAGATTTAAAGATTTAAGCATACATAGGGACGGACAGAGAGCGATGGTGATTTTGTTTTATACTATGTAATGATGAAGGGACAAACGAGCTTGCGGCTCACCTGATGGTAAGTGATCGCCGCCGCTCATAAGCACCCACAACGCCATGGGAATGGTGAATTGCCGGTTTAAGCTCTGTTATTGAAAGTTTCAATATAGTATCGGTCGGAAAGGTGACTCCATAATATGGTTGTGCATGGCAAATAGTTTCTATAAAAACAGCCGCTATTCGTGCAAATGATCAGGGTGGTCATTTAGTATATTTCTTGAAGTATCTACAAGTAATATAATAAAAGAGACACTCAGTCCCGAATGACTTGAATGTTATTTTTTTTCGCGTCGTAACTAGGCAACGGTGTTGCCGCGCGATGATAGTGTGGCGAATCTACGGACAGCGCGTGGCAACACCGTTGCCTGGCGACACATGAGGGAGAAAAATAACAATCCTGTCATAGCGGACCGAATCACTTCTTTTTTTATATAATTTCCATTTATATTATTATCACTGTAAATAATATAAGAATTCACATATATATACAAAGCCACGACTAAATTCGCCACATAACTCTAACAACTAGAAGTTTTTTTTCTTCTTTACTTCAACCTGACATGGTATATTGCTAGCATTGAAATTATTAGTCCACATTACTAACAATCCCCTTCCTTTCAGAACTATTAGTCCGTAGAGTCCTCATTTCTACATATCATGCATCACACACTCCTATATTGTTTTCTGTCGATCTTTCCCTTTGCATCCATTCATATTATTAGCACAGATAATATAATATTTTATTAGTAAATACCTTGTAGGTACAACTTATGTTTTAAAATCGTGGTACACATAGTTTGTCCACAACCCAAACTACACTTGATCATAATAATAATATGATTTCTTTTGTATAACCTACCACGGAGGGTTGTTTTTATTTTATTTTTATAAAATATAATTATTCTAGACAATCTACGCAACGCCATCTAGTCCCAAGTTAAGGAACTTGTGTTATCGGCACTAGGCAACTGATATAAATACTCAAATATATATTATATATTGCATATATATATATGTATATATAAACATAAACTATTTATTATATAAAAATGTAAATATGTATGTGTGTCATCTATATAAATATATATGATAAACGACCACCATTAATATACCAGTCGCAGCTGAACATTACATGTTGATAAAAAAAATGTCAGTGAAACAAATAAAATAAAAAAAAAAAAAAGCATTGAAATTATTAGTCCACAACGGAACCCCATGATCCATTATGAACAATGGACTCACATATCAGCATCACACCTATATTGTTTTCTGTGATTTCTTTGCATCCATTCATATTATAGCACAGATAATATAATATTTTATTAGTAAATACCGGGTACAACTTATGTTTTAAAATGGTACACATAGTTTGTCCACAATTATACACTTGATCATAATAATAATATGATTTCTTTTGTATAACCTACCACGGAGGGTTGTTTTTATTTTATTTTTATAAAATATAATTATTCTAGACAAGAGAACGCCATCTAGTCCCAAGTTGAACTTGTATTTACATATGATATAAATATAAATATATTTTCTTGGTATATATATATATATATACAAAAGTGGGTGATTTGCTATACCAACGACCACCATTACTATACTAGTTGGCTAACATTACATATTCGGAGATAGAAAGGGGTTGTAAGTAACGGAACCCTATTACGAGCAATGGACTCACTAGAAACCTAAGTCCTTATGATTTCGCCCCGATGGTCTAATCCTATGATCTTCCACAAGTACCCCGTCAAAGTAAACATATACCGTTATATGCAGGCGGGCGCACCATACGTCTATCATTTTCTTTTATTTGTAAAATTATTTAGGGACTTTCATATTTTATAATCTACTAGCTGTTCTCACGGTTTCGTCCGCGTGGAACTTTATTTTTCTAAAATAAAAGTAGCCTAAGTTACTCCTTAATACATCAGCTACCTGCCAAAATCGGTCCAGCTATTTCAGAGATTAGCCGGAACAAACAGACAGACAGGCAGACAAAAATTGTTATTTTGGTGTATGTATCGTATTTATATTCATATGTATATAGATATAAAAAACGTTTATTTCAATATTACAAACAGACTCTCGAATTTTATTAATATGTATAGATTATTAAAATTATTACATGTTCAGCGTTGAACTTTCGTCTTAGTCGCTGAAAGGGCAAAATTATTAGACGGAATAATATAAACACAATCGTATTCTGTTCCTGTTGGTATTAATGTCCATTCTGTGTGCTCAAAATAGCGCATTTACATGATTCATAATTTATTATTACAATTCAGTGTCTTCACTTTGTATACGAGTAACGAGACGCACTGCGCCCGCCAGATAATAATATTGTTAGGTACTCATTACACGGCATATTGCGCTGCCAATTTGTTACAATAGTTATGTATTAATTAATAAAATATTATTTTACAAAATTTCGTTATTTAGCAATATCTTCTTGAAATGAATTGAGAATTAATTAATTGTCTCTTTATATATTACATAGTTTATTAGTCGCAGAAATTGATCGTGTAATAGCCGCATAAGCTTGAAGCTGATACCGCCATCTATTGAATAATCCGAAAGTTACTAATGACAACTACCAACTCCGAAATAAAATTATGTTTCATTTTACGAACACTGAATTCTACGCCATGAATTTTATTTGTAATATTTACTTTATTTTTCTTAAAAATAGCTGGCAATGAACTAAATTTGCATTTATGTTTTATTGTAATAACTACTTATAATATTAAATTAGTATCAAATAAAAATATTGGATATTTTCTTATTAAAGCACATTCCGTTAAACGCACAAATATCCGAGCACGAGTCGACAAAAGCGCCAATCGTGACAACACCAAGGAACTAATGAAATCATATGACTTTCGTCACAAATCCAATCTCGTCTTATTGATTCCTGTGTAGGTCTCTATTCTCGCTCGACATAGTTTTTGTTTGTATCAGTTATGGCGAGTCAGACACAGGGGATCCAGCAATTGTTGGCTGCTGAAAAACGTGCAGCTGAGAAAGTATCAGAGGCAAGGAAGCGTAAGTATTAAATTTTGTACTACGTAGTATTTCTTCACCATGGAACCGCCGTAGCTCTTGATATAACTTTGACGCACCCTGACACTCAGAGAGATAGTATTTTAGCAAAAGAATTAATAGAATAGCTTGTATAAATAATTAAAGGTGACAATCTGTGAAAATTTTCAAAAATACGGTAGTATACATGTCACATGATTCTACAACTTATGACCCTGGTTGGGCTTTGAAGTCTATACGGGTAGATAAGATGGAAGTAATTCATCTTTATTACTTAATGTGTTAGTATGTTCATCATATTTATGTGTGAATACATTGTATTTATGTGTATTTCTCAATATAATATATTTAAGTAGTAAAAATCAATGTTCATGACATAATCTTATGATTTACTATCACTCATATCAATATCACAGTTATTCATCAGTTGTATCTATCTCGTTTAATTAGGATTGAATAAATACAGACAGAACAAAACATTTTGTCAAATTATTAATAGTAATAAAAAAAATTCTACAGTAAAAGTAAAGTTATTACAATTCATTAATGAAGGTTAATATGGTGTGAATCAGTTCATTGATTGATATAGATAATTTGTTACGTCTTTTTTAAATGATGGCTTCATCGGAGTTAGATGATTTTCCGATATCAAGATTGGAACAGATACTGTCTGCATTATAATCTGTGGGTGCAGTATTTTTAGTTATCCGAGTATGTTGAGAATCTAAAATGAAGGAAATAAATACATTGAAGACACCATAAATAAATGTATTAGCTGGTACAGGGAGTAGGGTTACTCGGTGCTATTACTACACTATTTTATATAATACAATCATATACTTATAAAGTATTATTTTAATATCAATGCAGGCATCTCCATATAATAGTACCCTATATTATTCTAAAAACTATGAATGAACTGCTGAAATAAAAATTAATAATAATTTATTCACACAGTACATTTTAGTCATTCAGCATAGTTAAGTTTTTTGTATCTTTATTATTTCCTAAGTCCAGTGAAGTATAGGAATATCAGAGTATTATATATAAAGTTAAAAGCCAATTACAATACTAATGAAATTGAAACAGTGTTACCAAGAAATAAAATAGTCAGTCACATGATCAATTCAGTTACAAAAGTTGAAAAATATATTTTCAGATTTCAGAGAATAATAACAAAATAAATTAGACAATGATGTCAGAGCAGACCAGTATTTTGTTCCAACAGATTTTTTTAAAATATTTTAGCCAAATGTTAGAATTTGGCATTGTAATGCATACCAGATTGTTATAAATAATATAATAATCAAATAAATTTGGATGCAAAATGTTTGATGTTAATCAGATATGTGTACCATGTTTTAATAGGGAATTCTGGCATGTTCAAGCTACCATTTGGTAAATGGTAATATTTTTTATTATAGGAAAAGCAAAACGCCTAAAGCAGGCCAAGGAGGAGGCTCAAGATGAGGTAGAGAAGTACAGACAGGAGCGGGAGAGGCAGTTCAAAGAGTTTGAAGCCAAGGTATATATATCACTCTCTTTTTAATTATTGATTACACTACAGTATACTAAAGTATTTACTTTATTTTTCTTAAAATAGTAATAACCTATATTCAAATGAACTTAATATAAGCATTTTTAAATAGTCATATTATTTTATTCTACCACTCATTTGGAATGCAGACTCATCACAAGAAAACACAAAATCTTTCTAATGACACAAAATTGCTACATTACATACCCTGTATATTTCTATAATAAATAGTTCAGAATGTACATTTTTTTTTGTATTTCCCTATCTGCAGTCAGTCCTGGAAATATAAGCAGATCTTTTGTGTGTGGGAACTGGTAACAGAATGTCCACTCCATTGAGACGATCTGCTCCTTAAGATCACTGTGGAATATTATATAAAATATCGCTTCTTTTTAGATGCTTAGGGTACAGTTTTTTTGTGAGAAAGAATATATTGCATAAAGTTTTTTTTTTACATTTAAATTTATGAGTTTTTAGAATAAGCTATTCATGTTATAATTGTTAAACTAAAAGGTAAATAAACTGACTTATCATCTGATGGTAAGTGGTAATCTGGTGATCATCACCTACATGCATGAACAGCCCTACAAACATGACTATCATTAGACACCTGTGATACTGATGATGATGTGTTGCCATTCCAGAGGTCTAAGATCATGCCTCTTATGATTTTATTGTGTAGTTTCAAGGCCTAATCAATCCAAAACACAGTTTACAACAAGCTTCTAGGCAGTTGTAATAGGTGAGACTGAGGTACCCACCCAGACAACTTCTTACAAAGTCTATCTCATTAGAGGTCTCGCTATTACAAGTATTAATTTATATGTTGCTTCATTCCAGCATATGGGCACAAGGGAAGGTGTAGCGGCTAAGATCGATGCTGAAACCAAGGTCAAAATTGACGAGATGAACAGAATGGTTAAGTCACAGCAGGATGCGGTATGTACACATATTATTACTAGACTACCCGCACAACTTCGTCTCATTCTCGCTTACTTGGTGGGATTTATCATATTTCGCCCGTTAAAGCTTCATCGAAATCCATTCCAGCCGTCCATGTTAACAAACTTTCACGTTTATAATATTCGTAAGATGACATTCAGAAATTGTGAAAATTGTATACATTTTTTCTGTTTTACAAAATTAAAAAAAGTGGTCATGTTGCATAAACTAGGTATGAAAACATAAAAAAATATTTATGTTCATATTTTTTTTGTTCTGTTTAAAGGATAGGCAAAGGGAACTGTGCTCATGCAGTTGTGTTTGCTTGTGTTTCATATTCTGTTTTCTTAGTTAATTTTATTTTCAATCTGTGCTCACTAAATAAATTGCATTCTGTTGACAGGTAATCAAAGACATCCTCAATTTGATCTACGACATCAAGCCAGAACTTCACATCAATTACCGCACCTAAATTAAGCGTACAAATCCTAAATCTAATTTGTTGCAATGTTGCGAATTTGCGGTTACGCAAACATAGATTTTATTGTTATTGTAATACTGTTCTTAATCGATAGGCACATAGGCGCGGAGCGACACCTCGCGGGCACGCGCGCAAACTATCAACTGTCATTTTGACGTTTTAGCGCGGGAAAAACTGCCCACAGCTGTATATATATAATCCGCTTGATTTCTGTATTTAATTAAACATTGATGAATTAATATAAGCGTGTAATGGAGAAATCAGCTTGGCATCATTCCATTTGAAATTGATTCGAAGGCAGACAACATATAAATTCATATAGGTGTAATTCCTAATATATATTGTATGTTTATTCTATGTTGTATGTTGAATAGAAATTAAAGTTTAAACAAAAATAACATGCGAGTTTTTAATGTTTTTAATTTATTTCTTATTACGTTTTAATCAAATGGAAAGCTGGTCTGTACAGTATTAGAGGAAATATATTATTGATCTATTAAATTATTGTTTCATTACGGGATTTTCAATGATTCGGGTGATTTGATTGCTGTATTCCTGAAAATGAGATATCAATTAGGAGAGATTTTTTATATTGTAGTGGTAGATCCGACTGCGCCAATGGTAATCTACTACAGCAAGATGTATCAGAATGAAAGACAGATCTATTAACTTCTTCATAATCGTATATTGTTGACTAAGGGAAATGGCTGTTGGAAGCTGCCAATTACCTGATTAAGTCCAGTTCTGCCTAGTTTATGAACTAACCATAATTAATAGTAATAATAATAACCCTGGACAATTTACACAGCGCCATCTAGTCCCAAGTTAAACAGAGCTTAGTAATTTATCATGATGGTTTCCAGAGGGAACCGCGTGGAGGTCAACCTGACATGGTACATTGCAAGCAATGGGGTCATGAGTCCACATTAAAATTGACAGTTTCATAGAAACTTTCATCCCCTATTTTATTCCTTTGGGTGTAGAATTAATCAAAATCCTTTCTTAGCGGATGCCTACGTCATAACATCTACCTGCATGCCAAATTTCAGCCCGATCCGTCCAGTGGTTTGGACTGTGCGTTGATAGATCACTACGTCAGTCACCTTTTTCAAGTTTATATATATATATATATATATCAGACAGTAGCCACTTCTGATCAAAACAGGCGACTGCTTTTTGTCATCGCATAAAATAATCCCCCTCCGATCGATCCCCCGTTCAATTCAAACGGGGATCGAAATTACGACGGCCTGAGCCGAGGTTCCTAGTGGTGCCCTCAGACTAAAGTCGTATCCGTCAGGCAGGAGTTGGCCTTCAGCCGCTCCATAAGTCCTTCCGCGGGTTTGGAGTGCCATCTGCACTCGCCCCCTATCGTCCGGTGAAGCTGTAAGGCCAGCTGCGGCCAACAGCATTAGAGTCCGAAAAAAAAAGCATAAAATAATACAGATTAGGAATAAGCGTGCTTATCTGTCTTTATAAGACAATCTTACTTTAACTGCACCAATTTTTCACCAAGCCCCTCTATCCATGGCACCACAGTACCGACAGTAGTGAACACGGCCGGACGGTCAGGCTCATCGCATCGGTTCGACGAAAACGACAGTATACCTATCAAACGACCCTCCATAATCGCTGGCCCGCCTGCATCGTGCTGTAATATGAAATTTGTATCAAATGAATTGGATGAATGGAATAGAGCTCACTGCATAACTGTAAACACTTTCTACTTTTCTATTCGATCTATACATATAATTAAAATTGGATTGTCTTTTTGTAATGTTGAAATAACCGTGTTGTACTACATGCATATGAATATAAATACGATACATACACCAAAATATTTTTTTTTTACATTCTTTGTCTGTCTGTCGGCCTGTTTGTTCCGGCTAATCTCTCAAATGGCTGGACCTTGATTTTGACGGGACTTTTTTTGGCAGGTAGCTGATGTAATAAGGAGTAACTTAGGAGACTTTTAGTTTAGAAAAATAAAATAAAATTTCATGCGGACGAAGTCGCGGGAACAGTCAGTTAATGAATATGGGATTTAGTGGAAGCAAATAATAGATTTTACATATGTCAGCAATCTTCCATTTATTATACGGTTTATCTACAATTTGTTTGATGTTTTCCTGGCTTATTTTGTTTTTCGCGGTTGTTTTCTCTATCTACCTCGCACATTATAAAAACATCTATGTTTCTAATTTCCACGTTCCACTTCAAGCATCAACCCTGGATGGGTTGATGCTTGAAATGGAACGGAACGAATCTCACACGGATATTTTATGGTTATTTACCAATACAGTTTCCATACGTACATACCTCAGTGTGTTCAATTGTACATACATACATATACCTCAGTACATAATTCAGTTTAACATAGAATTATTTATTTGCCACTTGCCATTAGAGGCAGTCTCTATACTTACATTACAGACATTTTTCGGTATTGTTATATAACCAGCGCAAAAATTATTTCTTGATACTAAATTTCTGAAACAAATTAAATAAGATCTGAAATTAGTTTACGAAAAAAAAACATTAAAAATAGATTAACATTTGATGGTTTTGTAATAAAGATAAATTGATTTTGAGATTCGCATTTGCAAATAAATAAAATAAATGGCTGGACAATTCACATAGCGCCATCAAGGCCCAAGCTGAGTAGAGCTTGCTTTATGGGAACTTGGCAACTGATAGAAATATAATATATTTTTTATTGTTAGATGCACATAACAAACATATAAAACATTCACACGGATGTAATCATGGATTGAAAGGTTTGTTTAGTGCAAGAAATGAAACTCGCAATCACCAGATTTCGATGTCGTCGTTTGTCCCTATATAATCACAAAAACTTTAAATTCCAATAGGAATTTTGGATCTATATTAAATAGACATTTTAAATAACCTTCCGTAGACTTCTTGGCAGTCGGCCAGATCATAGACTGGTAGTTCTACCTTCTGCAGCAGAACAGCTCCACCGCTACCAGATACACCCTGATGACAACAACTTAAACTATAGCACAGCTAGCTACTAACATAGGTTAATAACATATGTTTTTATAATGCATGATAAAGGAATGATGCACCTGCCTGCGCTAACGGTGTACACTGGCGGGGCACCAGTGAAGGATGATAAGATGAACATAAGGTGATGGTTTCCAGGGGGAACTCAATGGAGGTCAACCTGTTGAAATGATTAATGCTTGCCATGCTCCAAGCATTGCAAGCATTGGGGTCATCAGTCCATATTACTAACAAACCTCTATCCCCTCGTAAGATAAGGTTATGGTTGTAAAGTTTTTGCTTGTTTGATTCTGGCGCATATCAATTGTTCTATGTAATTTTTGTAAATAAAATCAATTCACCGAGTTTTGCCTGCGAAATAAATCATTCGTTCATTCAAACAAAGACATAATATGACAGTGAATTTACAGGGTGCATTTCTGTTAAGTACCATAGATCCCGTAGATATCCCGATATACGGTGGCTAAGGTCACCTCTTACCATTCTAATTTTTTAATGTTTCTCATTCCAATTACATAAAAAAATTATTAAGACAGTCTTGGTGGACTAGCGGTTGGCATACCGCTTTATTTATAATGGTCGAGGGTTCGATTCCTACCTTGATATAAGCATTCGAATATATGAGTATGATTGTTTTATCGGTCTGGGTGTTCTCTATGTATATTACGTACGTACTTACAAAAAATATATATCTATGGTAAGTGTTACGATCAGTTATCTAGTACCCACAACGCAAGCTCTGCTTAGCTTGAGACTAGATGGCGCTATGTGAATTGTCCAGGGACATTATTATTATTTTAATACATACAGTTCTTACCAACACTGATCCCCATCCTAAAAACATAATCTTTCTATCAATAGGCACGACTTTGTCTCTGGAAAACTCTATCATTTCCACTTTAGGCTCATCTCTTCCGAAGGTCAAGTTCTTATGTAACTTCAGGACGGCGACGTTAAACTCCAACGTTTGTGGCTTGTAGTTGGGATGGAAGAAGATCTCTGTAACACGCAGCAACTCCCCGCCGGCGGTCGCGTTGTCAGAACCAACTCTAACGCTCAGCATTTTGACGTATTCCCGAAAGAATCTATTGTTGTATTGTCTGAAATGTATTAAACATTATTATTTTTATAGAGGTTTCTACAAAATTGTATAAAGTAATCTTTGTCTCAATATTTCTGCCGGCAAGTAGATTTTTATAGATGAAGGAAGAACGAAGGTGTTACATATGAATGTGGATGGTTATAAGGGCAGAGGAAGGCCGAAAGAGAGATGGATGGACTGTGTGAAAGATGATACAAGGAGAAAGGGAGTAAATAACAAGATGACTGCGAACAGGGATGAAAAGAAGAGAAAACCATACGCCGACCCTATAAGGAAGAATCAGATAATGAATACATAGATAGATAAAAAGTTATAATTTTTCTCAGTTTCCACGATGGTTATGTAACTCTCAAGCTTTGCTATTTTAGAATATTACAATGTCATGTTCATATATCCTGTAATTTTACTGCTCTGTAATGTCACTCTTCTACCAAAAGTATAACTAACGTCTATTTGCATGATGATGCCTCGTTCTAAGGTGAAACACGTTACAATATGGGTATAGATCCGATAACGGTCAGAGTTTTATCACTAGTGGAGATCGTCATAACTCTTCCAATAGTGGTGGTCAGGATTCTGCACAGAATATTTGTGATCTCGCCCATACTAATGCTAGCGGTATTAGACAAAATAATACCAATGAATTGAGTAATCCATTTGTGTGTATTCGCAAGCAGTATTTCAGTTTGATATGACTGTAAAATTACAGGGTATGGAGCTGAGCCAACATCTGAGTTACTTACAATTGCAAACAATGAGCTGCAGTCAACACCTTGTCGCTGCTTATCACCACTGCTCCGCACCATAGTTTCCTGTTCACCAGTAAAGCAGCCATGAACGGGAACTCCTCAATGGTTGCCACTTCATCTGGATTGTAAATACGACGGTAACGGCGGTCGAGAGGCGGTGACGCGATGGTCGTTGCTGGTGACAAATATTTTTGAAATGCAGAAGAAAGTTTAGATGGCAGCAATTAGTTTTACAGATAACAGTTGTGTATGAAGAGTAATTTGCATTCAAAGGCGTCAAGTTTGATCTTATAATGCCTCGTTTAGAAGAATGAGCAAGAAACTTGCCGTTGCTCTTTTAAATAAATCTTGTTCGGAATAAAATTTTGTGAATACAAATGTTAAGTTTTATAACGATGGACAAACAGTTTGCAAGCTCTCTACTAAGGTAGACGTTTTTTCAATGGATAATAATGGCATGATGCCTTTGCTGCACTAACGGTTTACCAGGGCGGGGCACCAGCGGAGATTGATAGAATGAACATGAAGTCAGGTCATTTTTGCCATTCCACAGCGTATAAAATATTTGATTTGCAATTAACATTTTACTAGTATACTTACTGGTTGTAATTCTATGATCCCCTTTAGCTAGTACCTCGCTGACAGCTGATCGCCGGCTGGGGAACTCTATAGGTAGACCTTCGTATTGCCATTCTTGGGCGTACATACTGCGACGGCCGATTGTTTCTTTTTCAACTGGTATAAAATAACGTTAACGAAATCTTGTTTGCTTTTCAACTGACTCAACAATAATAATAATAACGCTGGACAATTTACGCCATCTAGTCCCAAATTATGGAGATCTGTTACAACTGATACAATTATTTATTTACACTTTTTTTTCGTAAATATACGTACATTATATATTATACCCATTTATCCATGTATTACACTCAGAGCGATATAAACAATCATACTCAAGAATACAAATGTTTGTACTGTTAAGAAATCGAACTCGCGACCATCGTACTGAGCTGGTATGTCTAATGGTTTACTAGATCACCCAGGACGTCAAATAAGTAATCATTCTGTAATACCTACAGAAAATTTGAATTTTCAAGATTCATTTAGCTATGAAAAGGTAGCCGTTTTTATAAACAGATATATTTTCTATTTTACAATAGTAATACCTATTGAAAATTTAATTAGCTATGAAAGCGTTTGTCTACAGACAGATGGACAGATACTTTTTCTAATTTACGATATTAGATGGTACTTACTATCGTTGGAAGTACTCTCCGATGAGACATCCATACTGTCGTGACCACAAACAATCTTAATCAAACAAATCAACAGTATTGCACAAGTTATGAGAATTTCAACACCATAAGACATTTTAGTAGTTTTGTATCAACGATTTTCTATTACAAAATAAGTGATGTTGAATATGTTTTTAGTATCTAGTTTGTCGTAAAATGTAAATGCCATATTTTTAATAGGTAAAAAATCGTATAAAGTGTGATAAAATAGTTATTGAATTTGCAATCTATAGCAGTCGAAGTGGGAGCGAGAGGTATACCAGCGAAATCTCTATGGAATATTCTAAAACATCTTCGCATATCAAGAACTACAGAAGTTCTATACTAGAATGTGTTTCTAAAGCTGTATTAGCCGGCTCCTACCATTGTTATACTCTAAGTGATAAGGATGGTCAATCACAATTTTTTTAATACTCAGATGTGGCAGTGCGTAACTTTATTAAAACAAACAAGAATTAATGACTGATAAATAAATAATTAGCTTTTATCCGTGAACGAAGTCACGGGTAAAAGCTAGTTGCGCTTGGAATTTAACCCTTTAATTAATAAAATAAGTTTTCTAAAATAAAAGTAAAATGTTTTCTAAAAAAAAGTTACTCCTTATGACATTATCTATCCACGAGTAAAAACCCTATTCAAATCACTGCAGTTGTTCCAGAGATTACTAATTTTTGATTTGTCTTATACATTTTGTGGAAAGCTGTTGATATCAAATTACAAACACTTAAATTTTATTTATTTGTATAGATAAAATAGAAAGAAATTCACACATGGCCAAACACAACTTTATTAAAAATAAACAAGAATTACATGACTGAATAATCTGAATATTATACAAATAATAACTATAGGATATGCAGATGGATATAACAACTGAATAAACACATATATATCTCGTTTACTGCACCATCATAAGTCGTTCGGTTATCAATACTGAAACAATAAAGAATAGCATGAGTGTTCGGCCTCGGTGGTTTAGCGGATTAGCATATCGCTTTACTCCTGATGGTTGCGGGTTCAATTTCTCATACGGCATTCGGGGCAAACATTTGTATACATGAGAGTGTTTTGCTACATATATATTTAAACATATGTATCTATGTAATTATATAAATTGTCTAACCACAACACAAGCTCTGCTTAGCTTGGGACTAGTGTAAATTGTCCAGGGTTATTATTATTATTTTTGTTGTGTACTATACTCCCTAATCAGAAATGTATATTTTATTCTAAACTACTAACCACTAACTAAATAAAGATATATTTTATTCTGTACTCGTGACTTTGTCCGCGTGGATTTTAACTTTATTTTTCTAAAATAAAAGTAGCCTAAGTTACTCCTTATTACATCAGCTACCTGCCAATAAAAGTCCTGTCAAAATCGGTCCAGCCATTTCAGAGATTAGCCGGAACAAACAGACAGACAAAAATTGTAAAAAATGTAATTTTGGTGTATGTACCGTATTTATATTCATATGTATGTATGTAGTAAAAGACGGTTATTTCAATATTACAGAGACACTCCAATTTTATTTATATGTATGGATTTGTATTTAAATTCATTGTTCTGTTATTGTACATTGTAATTACTCAGTAAAAAAAACTATCAATAAGGTTTGTAGTTACCTTCCATCTGTCATTATCGTAGTCCCACTTCGATGAAATACCGTCTATAGGATTGGCACGGATCTCTAGCATTCTTCTAAGCTGTGCTTTTTGAGATGCTTTCGACAGTGAAGCTGGTAAGGGACCAGCAACTAAAATATATGATCAATAGACAGTAATGAATATGTATTTTTGTAACCGTATATAAGTTAATTTGAAAATAATTAGAACCGAGTTTTTTGTCACTTCTTAGCTCGAAAGCACTGTCATCTGACGGTACAATTTAGACGGTATGAATAAAGATACTTTTATTTGATATCGCCCTGGACTTATTACACAGTATCACCTAATTTCAAAATAAGATGACTATGTGTCATATTGTTATAAGTAATAGAAATAGATAACTACATTTTTGTGCAATAGTAAACATTCAACGACGGCCTCAGTGGTATAGCGATTTAGCAAAGCGCTTTACTTCTGATGGTTGTGGGTTTAATTTCTTGCACGATGCAAACATTTGTATTCACGATTATTTGTATCGAACTGTGTGTTTTGTATGTATATTATGTATATGTCATCACATTATTATTATTGTAACCATTCAGTAACAGTTATAATTAAATCCTTATTGGGACCATTTTTAGAGGCTTGGTTGGTTACTCTAGTAGCCTCGGCTGTACATGTAAAATGAGCCAAACTGCGGAAATAGTGTTCAATTGACGATAGGTTAATTTTTTCAGGTTACTAAAATGACAAACAAGCTGACGTCAAATGTTAACTGCTAGTTCTTCAACTGAAAATACATCTTACATTGCAAGCGGCTGACAAGGTGTATTTTTTTGTTGAGGACTAGCTGTATTCGCGACTTCGTTGGCGTGGAATTTAACTTTATTTGTCTGATATAAAAGTAGCCTAAGTTACTCCTTATTACATCAGCTACCTGTCAAAAAAGTCTCGTCAAAATCGGTCCAGCCATTTCAGAGATTAGCTGGAACAAACAGACAGACAAAAATTGTAAAAAATGTTATTTTTGTGTATGTATCGTATTTATATTCGTATGTATGTATTAAGAAACAGTTATTTCAATATTACAAACAGACACTCCAATTTTATTTATATGTATAGAAGATTTTGGGCCAGCACTGCTTCTATTGTGCTCGCCTTTTTTCAAAGTGCGCTACCTAGACCCGTCAGGAATAAGAATTGTAGCATATTCTTAGGAACGATGGTTTTTATCTCTTCAGGATTGAGCGTATACTTTGTGAAGGTAAATAAATGCTGTAACAGAGAACTTAGATTTATACAAAGTCTAGTTAGATTTTTTGTAAATAAATTCTTTACCGTAGTAGTGATTGTACATCGCTGCCCAAAAAGCGAATGATGTCAGGAAGAATACTCCACCGAGGACGAACTTCCACGTGCCTGTGGGGTGTTGGAATTCAGCAAACGTTTGGCAGAAAGAGGCACGGTACAGTGCTTTCTTCTCTTCACAGCACAACAACTTCCAATCACCTCTTTCTTTTTCACGGAGAGCCTGAAACATCCTGATACTACACAACTGATTCAAATAATTAGATAATTTTTTTTATGTCTAGCACCCATAAAACATGCTTAGCTTGGGACTTGATGGCGCTGTGTGAATTTTATTGAGATATTATTATTATTTGTAAAAAAGAAGCACTTTGGCGGCTGAAATAGGTGAGGCTATCAAATATACGCGTTTGTACTAAAGTCTAGCCGTCCATGAGCACCCGCAATATTACAGGGAATTGCAAGTGCGCTGTCGGTCTTTAAGAAGGAATAACCTCGTTTTTTTATGGTTTCAATATTTATCATTGGAAAATACCATAGCTGGAAGGTTATTCCACAATTCCACCACAGTTGTGCGTTGTAAAAACTGTAAAAATGCACGGCGGAGGACCGCCGCACATCTCGACGATCAGGATGGTATAAATGCAGAGATACAATGTCTATTATGCAATGTTACTAATACTTTACCACTTACCATCGGCTGTGTCAGCTTGTGTCATTTCAATTACATAAAAAATAACACGCGTACAAAAAGACTTACACAAATGTCTCTAGTGTTTTCCTTAAACCTTACAGCCGGGAATGGGAAGTGAGCGTCGTCTTTATAATTGGCGCATCCGTTTATTCCAAAGCCCACCAAATCTCTGTTGCCCGTGCGACATCGTCCATATATTGTCCTGGTATTAGACAACGGTGGTATAAGAGCAGAAGTTTTTATTGCCAGTAAGGACATTTTGGTATTTCTTACTACTTACTTTGGATTAGTAAAACGTCACTTTCGTATTACAACGTGTGATTTTTTTTGTCGAATTTGGAATTCAGCAAATAGGTTAATATCTATCGATAATAATATTATTTATGTGACATTGTGTTTGTTTGTTATCTTTACACAAAAGATAGAGTGTATAACGAGAACGATCTCTTATTTGTTTTCTTATTTTGTATGATAATTTAAATTATCTTTACTATATTTTCCATTGCATATCCAAACATTCTCAGCCATTTTGTGATTTTTATATATTAGCTATTACCCGCAAATGCGTCTCAATTAAATAAAAAAAAATATTAAAACAGTTATTATATATTTAATAAAATTATGTTCTATTTCATCATTTAATCTATGCATTTATTAAAATAGAAATCATCAACTAGTAGGCGTATTTGGACAGACGAATGTTGCTTGCCTTGCTAGATTTATTATTGTATTGTCAGGGTTTACAAAAACGAATGATCTTATATAATAACTCAATTCTTTCATTACGATCCTCTATTATGTCTTTTCTTATAATTATTACTCTTATTCCTCCAAAAACTATTGGTAGTAACTTTATTTAGTTCATTTGTTTCGCTACTTCTATTAACCTCTTTATACATTTCATCTTTTACCACCTTGATATTTTGCTCATAACTTCCAAAATATAGAACACCTTTTGTACTTTCAAAGTCATTACGATTTTTAATATTATTTTTCGAATATAAACTATCGTATCTCGGTTCTGTGTCAATACTAATACCGTAATCGGAATATGCTGAATCGGAACTTTCACTAACAGTATCATTAGGTATTATGGGTGGATATAAATCATAATCATCTTCTTCAGTATCACCTGAGTATGATTCTGAATCATTTGGAATAATTGTAATATTCAAGTCCAATTGTTTTGGTGTACTTACAAACTCATAATTATTATGAGTTTGTTTGGATTTGTAAGTGATAGGTTTTTGATTGGCAGCTAAATTCATTGCTAAACGAGAACGAAGTTTATTTGTATTGTGTTTTTGAAATGCCTCTATAATATTACCCCACGAATAAGTACCTGTAGTGAGGCTAACTTTCGTAGAGATTTCCGCTATAGTCGTTGCCGGAGTTCTTGTTATTTCAGTAATATCCGAGCCTTTAAAAACAGATATACCCTTAGTTGCTCGACGACGTTCTTGAAAATAGTCAGTGCTTTTATGTACTTCATTGACGTCATCTAAATCTTTGTATATTATATCGTTTACTATTGTATTATTATATAATGCAAATTGAGTTAATATATCCTCAAGTATGACTATTTCATCTGGATAGTCATTATGATAACTTGGTAAATTAGGTTTAGTTTCTACAATTTGATAAGCTTTTTTCGTTGTTCGTGCTTTTGGGACTTGAACCATTTCGGTAGCTACATTCTGAAATATTGAATTGAATGTAATGAATAAAAAAATAATTTTAGATTTTTTTAAGCAATTAAATGTTGAACAAGCCAAAGGCCCATCTGATGGTAAGCGATAACTATCGTCTACGTATACGGACAGTACTAATATCACGTAATTCCGTGACTTCTGTGATAACACTCATGCGTTGCAATTCCAGAAGATCCAATTCCATGCATCCAACAATCGAATCACAGCATAAAAAGCAAGCTGCTTGTCTGAAATAGGTGAGACTGAGGTACATGCAGATGACCTTTTACAGTTTCTCTCTGTTTTATATAATGCTTGGCTTTATTAAATGGTTCAAACCTCTTTCATAATGGTGTCAATCCAATCAGAGTAATGTCCGAGTCTGGTGAAGACAGTCGACGCTCCTGGTGTTCCACAATAAGCAGCACCGAAGCTTATCAGCCCCACCAGCACACCTTCCATTATCGCCGGGCCACCAACATCACCCTGAAAAATTGCTTATCAATTTTAAGGAGTCTGAGAGTCAGAGAATATTTACATAGGATGAGCAGATGTATCGGTTGACTTAAACAATGAGAATTTACTAAATTTGAATTATTTTTCTGTGTCTATAGGTGCTAAGTGAAATCTTTTATGAAAGATTTTTGAGCGGCATCTACTCCCAAACTAAGCAGAGCTTATGTTATGGGTACTAGACAAATGACAGCTAATTAGATATATATTTTTAATACTTGTATAAAACGCATATAGAATACACTCAGCCAATTCAAACAATTATACTCATGAATACAAATGTTTGAACCGTGCGAGGAATCAAATCAGCGACCATCTGAAGTAAGCTAAACCGCAAGACCGCTGAGCCCGTCAAAAATTGTAGCATGAGGAGATATACGTATCTTATAATCTCTTTTTTTAGTTAAAAAGATAATTTATGGAGTAGATTAATAAAATACAAACATTACAGGCACCGTTTCTTCTCCGCTTTAATCCAGCGCAGAAATGCTTATTCGTCACGTAATACCTGAAATAATTAATTTGTTTTATGGAAGATAAGCTGATGGCCTACCTGACGGTAAGTCGTAACCGTCGTCTTTATACATGAATAGCATTAGGACATTATCATATGCAACTCGCAAGTTTTTTGCTCGTTTTTCTTTTGATGAGACAGCTTTTCGAATAAGCGGGAGATAAAAATAAAGTGATGACTATTCAAAAGTGACATTATGTAAATCTACTACAGTTATAGTATGTACCTAATTCTATAATTAAAGAACTAATCTTACTGCGAATACGTTTTCTGGCATTCTCTTAGATCGTATATTTTCAAAAAGTCCGAAGATAAACTACGCACGACATCTTCGTCAAGCTGAAAAAGTATAAAGAAAATATGTTTAAGTATTTCATATATTTTCTATTTCAAATATAGATATATATTATGATGTATGTCAAATAATATGTTGAAATCACTGGCAAAATGGTACTCACTCGGTCGCTAAAAACGGCGACCGAGAGAGTAATAGAACCTAAGAAAAATATATCTTGTCATATTATATTATATGTTCCATAATATATACATTAAATAATATTTTTATCAGTTTAACTAAATATAAAACTAATAATTGTGTTTTCTCAGTAGTTTTATTGTACGTATCTAATATTATATAGAGATAAAGTTTGTATGTTTGATTTTTCGCGGTAATCTCCAGCATTATTGATCCGATTTTGATAGCCCATTTATCGAGGAAAGTTCTAGGTATGGGTTATAAACATCATGTTACGAACAATGGGTAGGTGTGACGGAGAAATACGCGAGTCGTCTTTTATAAAATAAGACACTATTCTAGACTTTACTAAGTATATATCGGCCATTCATTTAATATTTAGAATAAACTTCAAAATGAATCTATACTTTTGTTTCAAGTTTCTGATCTGTAGCATACCACTCCGAACTGACGGCAGATTTGTCATATCATAAGAGTCTGTAATAATAAATACTTTCAAAATCAAATTATCTTTATTCATATTATCACGTGAATAAAGATCAGACAGCCTCGATGGTCTAGTGGTTTAGCATACCGCTTTACTATCCGATGTTCGATTCCTCACACGGTACAAACATTTGTATTCATGAGTATCATTGTTTGTATCGGTCTGGGTGCTTTCTATGTATAATATGTATTTATTTCCAAAAAAAATGTATCCATGTATTTATATCAGTTGTCTAGTACAACACAAGCTCTGTATAGCTTGGGACTAGATGGCGCTGTGTGAATAGTAAAAAAAAAAAGATAATACGATTTATTTCGTAAGTGTAGAAGTAAGATATACCAATAGTAACTTACACCCCAATCACCCCATCCTAATATTACTACTGTCTTGTCAATCGGCAGGTCTGCAGAACTCCTGTCGTGCAAGATCCTTCTAATCTTCACGGTCTTGGAGAAATTTAGGTGTTGTCCCATTTTGATAATAGCCAGGTTATTCTTCAAAGTTCTCAGATCAAAATTAGGGTGGTGGTACACTTTAGATATAGGAATTAGTTCACCAAACTCATTAATATACTCACTAGCAACTCGCACTTGAATAAGCCGCGAGTTATGTTGTTTTTGAACTGTTCTGCAATATTTAAAATTAGGAATTGATTTTAACATCTAAAAATAAAGATGAAGAGCAACCTATCCTATATAGAAAACCTTAAAATCCATAGCGCTGACAATATTACTGATTACACTAATAATGAGTGCATAGCGATTTAAATCGCATGCCTCTTACTTGTTATACTGTAATTATTTATAATAAAAAACATCTATTCAAAAGAACAATACACAAGATTCTTTCTCATTCTTCTTGTGATGAATCTGCGTTCCGAATGAGTGGTAGAATTAAAAAATGACTATTCAAAAGTGCTTGTAATAAGTTTATTTTAATAAAGATTATTCCTATTTCTATTTCAATTTCTATCGTAGTAGTTTACTATAATTGACTTAAACTGCAAAGGCCATGAGTGCGAAACTAGCCAATGCAAAATAGAAATATGTCAATTTAATATTGTGTCAATTTATTAGTAGATAGTCTCATTGATCTAGTGCTTTACTTCTGCGGGTTTGATTCCCCGCACTGTGGTAACATTTGTATTCATCAGTATAATTCTTTGTATGCATCTGGATGTTGCAAATGAATCTATGTATTATGTTCTAGTTGTCTAGTACCCAAACACAAGTCAAGCGCGAAATATTCTCGTTCAGCCAAACACCGTACCAGATGGAGACAAATACCAGGGAGCCACCAGGGAGGATAATGGAGAGAATGCACTGATACCATCATCAAAGCCATAACCACTCTGTCAAGAGTGTACGACTAAAGAAGAAAAAGAAGAAACTGGAGAAAAAGAAGTAGAAGAATCTATTTTAAGTTTTAGCGTAACGTCCATTACTCACGTGTACAAACATGACGCTGCTGTAATAATCAGGTCTTTACTTATAACAGACCCAGCACCTGTAAACTTCCCTTGCACGTGAACGCTTGCTATAAAAGGATACTTCTTTATATTAGCTCTTTTCCCTCTGTATATTCTTCTATTTGTTGCAGTTTCATCATTGACAGCAAATTGTAGTTTTGTATTGGGGCCTATAAATTTGAATATGTTACTTAAAACGAAAATATTTGAAAAAGAGGTTGCTTCTTTACCGATTTAACCAATTGTCATTTAATTCACGCCGTTAGTATATATTTTATTCCACCAACAAATATCACGCTTTTGATATTCTTCTCTAGAAGAATATAATATATATGGTGGAATAAAAAAAATGTTTCAAAAGAAAGTTTGTCCTTTTTAAATTCTATTGAATAACATTTTTAATACTTACGCCATATCTTTAAATCATAATAAGCACGTCTATGATCTACATTTGTGTCTCTGATTCTTTTATTAGTTTTAACTTCTTCTGGCCTAAAGTCATCTATTGTAAATTCATTTATTTCTTTCATAAATTCTTCAAAAACATCGGCCTCGTCAGTTGTAGAATTTAAATTAAATTCTTTCGAGTTATTTACTACAGCAACGTTTGTTATTGATCTCGAATATTTTTGATGAAGAGATTCCTGTATTAAGTCGTAAAGTTTGACATCAGTCGTGTTATGTTTAACTGTATTGCTGATTAGTTCGTACATAACCCAATTATTCTCTGCTACGTCCCTCATTGTGTAATATATTTTTAAAAGTGCTTGTATTTTTAATGGTTCGACAAATTGCTTAGTAATTTTCAGTGTACTAAACAGCTTATTTATAACATTTTGCAATTTATCATTTATATTGTGTACGTAATGTGTTTCGTTTAATTGAGATGATTTTATCAGCGTCGTTTGTATACTTTCAAACATTATAGATATAATTATTGAAACTATTTTTCTTGTATTCATATTTAAAATGGTCTAAGTAAAATATTAATAGTAACATTACGTAATATTTTTTTAATGGATTCTATATAAAAACATATTTGAAATCACGAAACGTATTTACTCTTATCGATAATAAAGTTTTAACAATAAAACTTACGAAATAAAATAACAATAAAATAAAATATAACATTTTTATTAAATTAACATTACTGTTGTTTTACTAAATTAACATTATTGTATTAAAAATTACTTATACAATAAAAATAACTCAAAATTATATTAGAAATATAAATATCTATGTCGATATCAATAATTGTCTGTTTAATTTGGAATAGTCATCAAATAGTAGGACTTACTGAATTACCAACAGTCGAAGATAATAATATATTGACGTCAGAAAAGATAATACAAGAAACGACAGACAAACTCTTCTCTTTTCTAAAATCGAAACAGGGCAGATCTTTTGTCCATAAACATCTAGTATCACGTAGTTTGGAGGACTACGCAAATTTGAAAAAAATATCAAAACTAACCAGAGTTGATAAAAATATAAACAATGAAACAGCAAATTTTATGACTATATTAAATGAGCTATTAAACGAGGATCCGGGCGCAATTGTTAGTGATGCTGAAAACGAAGATGTTGTAAACCATATTCATGTATTTCTTGACACTCTTAAATATTATAAGGATATTTATGGGGCTAATAAACCAAATTTACACATTAATGATAAAATAATACAGCATCTGAAACACCGTGATGTGCCATGTAATCTTACAGAAGTTAATAAATTAAATTCATTAGAATCTTCAGAAAATGAAACTTTCACCGATGAAAGTGAATTTTGGGGTATGTATTTGCTTTTGCTTGTATTATTAAGTTGATGTACAATATACCCATGATTTCGTCCGCGTGGATATTATTTTAGTGAAATAAATTTTCTAAAATAAAAATAAGTTAAGTTACTCCTTACAATATTAACTATCTGCGAATGAACGTCCCGTCAAAATCGGTCCAGTCGTTTCAGAGATTAGCAAGAACAAACGGCCAGACAGAATTCAAAATTATGCATTTATGTAGTTTCACGAAATTACAAACATACACTAAAAACTTATTTATTTGTCTAAATAAGTGTGATTTATGTACATTGTTTTACAGAGCCGAGTGGTCGTCGTATTTACATGGGCCACAGAACTAAAATCAAATATTTTCCATTCATGGCTAGCATTCAGATCTTCAACAAGTTTCAATGTGGTGGCTCAATCATCAAGTCAGACCTCGTTATAACTGCCGCCTCCTGTCTACAATTGTAAGAACATATCTATTTATATCTGATACTATTGATACTAATATTATAAAGCTGAAGAGTTTGTTTGTTTGTTTGTTTGAACGCGCTAATCTCAGGAAGGAATTGTTCGAATTGGAAAATTCTTTTTGTGTTGGATAGTCTATTATTAGTTAGCATTATGCGATTAAATTGCTGAACGGATCTTAGTAAAATTTTAGGCTTTGGACAGATTACATCGCGTTATACACACATTCTTAAAAAAGCAAGCGAAATTCAGAACGGGTTGGAACAATAGTTGTTCATCATGTTTTTTAGTTTATTTAAATCTTGTTTACAGTTGCAAACCTTTAAAAAGTAGTATTTATATTTTAAGGGCTTGGAATAACCGCTTTTTCCGTGAGAATCCAGCCTTTCTCTCCGTTAGAGTCGGCAGCAGTTTCTACAGCGGTGGCGGAGAGAATATCCCAGTCCTGGAAGTCTACTTTCACCCCGAGTACAACCCTAGAAACTTGCGTAACAACATATGTGTACTGCGTCTGATGAGGAAGTTAAAGTTTAAAAGAAGAGGTAAGAAGAGGGTAAAGAAGATAGACATTGATAGAAAAGCATATAGTCTACCATTGACGACTAATGGCATTACAATTGTTGGATGGGGAGCTAAACGTGTGAGTCACGCATTTAACAATAGTTATATATATAAGACAATATAACACCAGCGATCAGGAGCGCGCGGAAGGAAATCATTAGGGATTGCATTTTGTAATTTTTTGTGGCCAATCTTTCGCGTCATTTAACTTCCTTTTTAAGCCACAGATTTTAATTTCCAACTACATTTAAAATTTATAAATTAATCAATAACTCTATAAATATGTTTTTGCTCCATAGTCAGATGTCCGCCATTTTGCAGTGATACGATTGAATGCTCGAGCTGGCTGCAAGCACGTTCTTTCTCTCTTTGTCTACATTTACATGCGTATTCTTTCCTGCGTGAAAACATATTCGCGCGTTAAAAGATCGTGTAAAGGCAGCTGATATTAATTATACGTGTATTACGTGGTCGAGTGGAATGAGTAGTCATGCTCACTAAAATGTCCAGACATGTGGCGGCGTGGTGGGCCGGGTCATTGGGCTCTCTAAAATATGGTCGAGCGCAGTGATGGCTGGCTCATCCGTCATACTCGTGAAACGAGTGCTGTTTGTAGGGACTGGTCTGCTCTTATCACTACGACTGATTGAATCTTATTGTGTTTTTATATTTGAGCCTAAATAAATTAGTGCTGGTTGGTAGTTTGTATTCACACGTTTCGACTTGTAAAATGTGAACTTACAAGGATTGTTTAAAAGAGCAACACACAAGTTTCTTGCTTATTCTTCTTGTGATGAGACAGCTTTCCGAATAAGCGGTAGATAAAAAAAATGTTGACTATTCAAAAGTGCTTAAATTAAGTTTATTTGAATAAATGATTTTCTATTCTATTCTATTCTATACTTGTGGCACTTGTGATGTATTATACGCAAGGCCTTCTACTCAGCATTTGCTGTAATATGTCGTTACAGTATTGATTGTTATTGGTTATAAATAGGTACATCTTCTCTTTTTTTAATCATATTGCATAGCTGTTATTTATTTGTATAAATTTGATTAAATTTTCAGTCTAGTAACATTTTGAATGATCCCTGGACTAATATAATGTCGTTTGACGTCTTGGATGTATACCCTTTGGATGAATGCCAAGATATATATTCCAGGTAAGATGGAATCGTGTTTCCAATAAGAATTTTAACTTGAAATTATAAAATAAGTGGCATGAGATCTAAGCATGACATCTTAGTCCTCTAGATTGACAATGTATGAATGGTATGCCAGGTGTCATGGTACATGTGATGTCTATAGTACTGTATTATGTAAGCGACTGTTATAATTTTTTTATGGATCTCCATTACCAACAATGATCCTATCCACTATCGCTTATTATTAGGTTGCCCATCATGTAGCATCTAGACACGAGGTAGCGTGTCAAGCCGAGTTTCAAGTAAGAGAACTGGCGAGCAGCACCGTGTGTATATTTACACGAACTAGTAATTGGATGGCTCCAAATGGTTCGTGTAAAGTCAGACCTTAGTCTACAGTATATTATCCTAATTTATAAGAAGAAATGATGTTATATTGTTATAAATACATTTCAGGACAGACTATTGAACTTGGCACCCATTTAGATCTCACCTCTTTTGTCGTAGAAGTCAACAATCAAGGCATATATTATAATATTAAACTCGGCTATCATTTCACATTTATGTTTTGATGGGATTCCAATTACATAAAGAAAATTTCTAACTACATTTTCCTGCTGTTGTGCGGTCTAAGGATCTTTGCCTATTCATTCATAAATTAAAATCAGAGATGGACGTATGAGGGGAAACAAATTAATGTCTGTGGATATTTTAATTTTGTTTGTTTTCAGTGAATATGTTACAAAGAAGCATTTTTGTGCAGGATTTGTGTCTAAAGGAGGCGGTGCGTGTAACGTGAGTTTAAATGTTTTTATATTTAGGTACATACCACTGAAACTAATGGCGAAAATATAAGAATAATAATAATCTCAGGACAATTCACACAGAGCCATCTAGACCCAAGTTAAGCTAGCTAGAGCTTGTGTTATGGGTACTAGATAACTGATACATATACATAGATATTTATTTTGTAAATACATACATACTATACATACATGCCGTGCGAGGAATCGAACCCGCAAATTCATTTAACATTCAGTAAGACTATAGACAAATAGTACTAATCTATTCTCAATTTAACCACAGATTATAACCTTAAACAACAGAATATGGGTAATGACTTTTTTTTAGATTTAATGCACTTTTTATTCATATGTACCATTGTATTAATACGTGATGCAAAACCTTTGTGCCCCCTTAATACAATGGTACATAGCTACATAAAGTTTTTTTTTCACAGCGTGATGTTGGTGGTCCAGGGATTGTGAATGGACTTCTAACGGGTATAATTAGTTTTGGATCTCCAGTGTGCGGCACACCAGACGCACCAACCGTCTTCACCAAGATCGGTCACTATAGCGACTGGATAGAAGAAATCATGGAGCAGGTGAGAGAAAATCAAACACATTTTGTATGTGGTACATCAGGTTGTAATGCCAATCACATCTCTTCAGCATACTGATGGTGCATGGTGAGTTGAGGTTTCGGATGACCATCCTCCTTCACCGTATCCCATTCTTAAGCATCTAGACCACATGGAGGTCACCTTGACATGGTACATAGCTTGCAATGGGATCACTGGTACTTTTTATTGATTTCCCCTTCTTATCTACTTTGTATTGTATTATATGTTGAACTCTGTTTCCACATTTAGCCTCTCGTTTAGGGATTTGCGTTGTCTTCTCTATATCTCTACTCTTCTCCACCTATACTGATGTTTTATTTCTGCCATGGGTCGGCGACGGTAGTTTCTTTTTTGTTAGCTATATTGTCCAGGTATAAATATCCGGAATAACTGCATGACCATTCTCTATACTAAGACTATTTCCATATCCCACTACAAAAATCTAGTTCGTTAATAATTTGTAATCCTATACGAAATAAATAAATGAATTACTCTGCATTTTATCAATTATCTTTTAATTAAAAATGAATCTTTTTTTATTGTATTTCTGTAATTGTACAACCTCATTTGAAAAGAATGAGAGCTGGGTGTCCTTTTAGTTCCTCTTCTAACAAGTCTACAGTCAGTTTGAAGTGCTTTCCAGTTAGGAAGCACTTCAAACTAGCTGTAAATTTGGGATATCAGAATAATCTGTAATAGACCTAAATGAATAGAGATAATTTAATTTCATTTGCTGTTTTCAGGATGTACCCTACATCAAGAAAAGAACAACTCTCAAGCTTTATACTGACCCTTCCACAAGACCTATACACTATACGCTTGCACCTACCACCTTTAAAATAGATCCTATCGAGGGTGCAATAAACCCTATACCCATAACTGATAGAGAAGTTTTAAGAAATTTAAATGATAACGGTCTATTTAATGAATTCCTTCTGAGCATGTTCGGAAGCAAAGAAGTGGAGGAATACCAAGAATTGTTCAGGAATGCTAAAGAAAACAACAACAAACGAGAAGTATCCGCTAAGAAAAACACTGTTGACGACTTTAAAGCAGAAACTGTTATTGATACAGCTACTGAAATTGGTATACTTAATAAGGATAAGCCAGGAGTTAAATCAGGAGCAGTACAGGTTAAAATGGCGACTGGAATCGGCATAGTGGAACCGGACAGTGACGAACCGGTTACAAAAACTTTAAAGGGTTATACCGTTTTGGAGAATGAAGACTTGGAAAAGCAGATGGAACAAGATATAGGTAAATTAATAAACAATATTGATATGAAGGAAATTGCAGGTGAAGTTAAAACTGGAACTGAGGATGTAGATGAAAAATCATTGATTAATTTGTTGAAACATAAACGCCAAAACGGTAAATGGAAAGATCTACATGATGATTCTGTATTGAATTTATTGTATCTTTCTGACAGTGAAAAAAAGAAACATAATTTCGATTCCAGTGACAATAATGATAATGTCCAAGTTGGTCTAAGTATACCAACAGACTCGTTTAAAGATATCACGTATAGAAATAATGAAACATTCAATGTCTATGAATTTTTATCGAAAAATGAATTGTATGATTTATTGTCGAAGGAAATTGATGCACAAACTAAAATATAATGTAAATTAAAAAAAAAATACTTGGTAATGATTCTTTTCTCAATATTCTAAATAAAATACTGTTTAAATGCCAATATATAAATTTAAGACTTTAATCTAATTCTAGTAGTTTGACTTAAGATTATTTATTTATTTAATGTGAATTAAAATAAATATTAAAAATCTAACAATATCCGAATTTTAAATTAATACATAATCCCTAAAACTTTCAATTCACATTACTTCGATCGAATATATTTCTCAAGTAAAGTGTTGCAATCTCATAAAATTTAGTATCAATTTGTATTAAATCATACTGTTTCCTATAAAACGTTCCTATCGCTTTATTTCTTGGATGTGCTAAATGTACTTTCTACAAAATAAATAAAATGTAATTGAAATATGTTCATACATTTTTTAATTATCATAATGTATTATGGCCAACTTTAATCATTAAAAAAATATATTGCGTGAAACGGAACATCTGTCACAGATTACAAAAGTTTGACTGTTCCACTAAACAGAGGGCGCTTATGTTTTTCTCAAAGTCTCCATTTAGGTGTTGGTGGTGATATTTTAATTAGAAATATATCATTTCACATACAAAAGGTAAATAATATATTATTTATTAATGTTATGTAATGTATTAATTCTAAAATAATCACATGTACATAACTTTATCAGTTATTATTTTAAGTACGTCTAAAAATTACGTCTCCGTAATTCGAAATTTAAATTTTCTATTTTCCAGCAGTTTGTTATTTTGTTTTACTTATCTTTTCTGTTTATTTCATTATTAGGAATTTTCAATTCTTTATTACATATTATATAAAAATATCCGTAGGAAAAATATTTGTGATTATGTAACTCGTTATCGATTGCCTGTAAGTAATAACCTAACTTTTGTTATCTTGAGCTAAGACTTCAGGTAGGTGTATCTTCTTTTACTGTTTTAAGTATTAGATAATACTAGTTAATGCTCGTGACTACGTTTGTATTTTTTTGATACAATCTTTCTGCCGGTTAAATTAAATTGAGATCCTTACTGCGGTTTAGTCCTGAAAAGCTAACAAACAATCAGACAGAGACACACTGCCGAGGTTGACTTTGTACAAAGTGGAACACCTCCGTATCACCTATTACAGCCGTTTTGTAAGATGTGTATCCATTGTATGGTCTGATATAGCAGTGAAATTACATGGACTGGAGAATACAAATATACAATAACATATAGCATATATAAAAACCAAGACAGAGACATCATTCTTAGCATACCATGGATTCACCATGCTGGAGCTGACTCCGTTATGTGGAAAATAGGGAAACTGAGTGTTTCCCGGGGCTTGTTAGTTCCAGTTGGAGGTTCAAGTTCCTTTACATAATAATATGTTGTATCAAAGGGTATATGATTGGTATGGTGTTGTTGATGTACCTAAGTTGTGTTCACCACTTACAATATCATCAGCACCATCTGTTTGTTTGTCATAAAAAAAAGTTTCAGTCTAAATGTCTAATTATCTACATCCTTTATCTTTTATGAATTGGTGACAGTTAGCAGTCTGTAGTCACACAAATTATTAAAAATCTAATGCTGAACAAGATTTATTTAAAAGAGCAACACACAAGTTTGTTATTCATTCTTCTCCTGATGAGTCTGTGTTCCAAGTAAAAAAAATATGACTATTCTAAAGTGTTTATATAAATTTTATTTGAATAAAGAATATTTATATTTTTGAACACTATTTATTTAAAAGAAAATAAAGGAAAACATAGTTGTTGTAGATTAGTAATCTAATCACAGGATTGAGCTTCAAACTTCTCCTTTTGACTAAATTTGTATTTTGATGTCAAAGAATAAATAAATAACCATTCTAAAATGTTTGTTTGAAATTTACTATAATGTAGAGTATATACATTTTTCTTGGTATTGATTTGTTTTGTATATATGTTTTGTGTTGAATTCTGTGTACATAAATATACAAATGTCCTGTATGAATAAATGCCATTTTATTTTGTTTGAATGTATTTTTATTTAATTGTTTGTGTAGAAACATGGCCAACTACCTTATGCGCCGGGCGCTGCTAGATGCAGTCCGCGTACCTGCTGGAACCAGGGCCGTCAGTGAGCTTGCTAAGGTATGCTATTTATATCTGTTACATTTATACATATTTACAATTATACATTAAAATAAAATTAAGTAAATCTTCAGTACAGTGGACCCCGGTTATCCGACAAACATTTTGCAGGGCAGTTTGGACCATCAAATTTGTCGGATTATATGATTGAGATTATATATCATATGAGTGCTGCCTAAGGATCCCCTATAGTTCGGAATTTTTTACAAAAGAGTATCTTTTAATCCGACAAATTACAGATCCAGTGATAAGATTCTATGTTATATATGTATGTATGTATATGCACTTTGAAGTACTCTGAATTGTCAAAAAAATATTCAATAATAAATAATAGACCATGTCAGATTACAAGGGGGCCGGGGATGACCGCTGGTCCACTGTACTTTTATAATGAAGTTATAAAATGACTGAATATTTTAATGTATCTTTAGATGCACACTAAAAAACTATATTGTGACCCCAAGATATAAAGAGCGTGTCCAATGGTCAAGGATATGACTGATGTCAGAAAAAATGACTGATTACATCAGACATTTGGGGTCTGCAGCGAAACTTGGTTGCCAAACTCCCTACTCTAGCAAATATAATTCTTGTATTAAGGTCAATCATACACACTGTCCTGTCATTCATATGTCCATATAAGACTGGACATAGAGGACTGGTCATACCAGACATACAGATCCATAATGTGGCGACTTAGTATGGGAAGCAGTAGCATCTTCCAGATGGTCTGATGACATCAAAAAGATGGCCGAACTGGACAAGATGGACCACATATATAAAAAAGTGGTAAATTATGCAAGAGGCATACATCCAGCAGCTTAGCACAGCTTCCGTAACAAACCTGCCGGCAAAGTGTATGCATTAAGAGTCCAGCCAAACTGTTAGTCCATACAACATAAGTAGAGTCCATACAATTCACCAGCCAATGTGTATGGTACACTGTTTCAGAACTATGAAATATACATTTACAAAATCAAAACAGTTATATAACAGCCACAAACTACAAGAAAATTTTATATATTTAAGCTCTGCATCCTCGTAGTAGTTTGTATCGGTCTGGGTGTTTTCTATTATATATGTATTTACAAGAAATAATATATTTAAATATTTTTATCAGCTGTCTAGTATCCATAACACAAGTTCTGATTAGCTTGGAACTAGATGGGGCTCTGTAAATAGTTCTAGATTTTATTATATTAATATTTTTTTATATGCAGGTTGGAAATCGCGAGTGGGTAGGCAGTGGATATAATGGCCAGCCCAACTACGCTGACAGGCCCGACTTCCCTCTGCCGGCTGTTAGATTCCGCCCGGACACACCTGATATCAAGGTCAGTTTCTATAAAAACAAAGAAGTAATATTCTACAATGACAGTAATTATTGTCCAGACGGTTCCTAGTTGAGCGGGACTATTGTCGGAATATGTTCCTGATAGGAACTCTTAAATAATATTTGATCAAAGTAGACTTTGTAGGATAGATCTGCATTTTTTAATAAATGATAATGGAATGGTTCAGGTGCACCATGCATTTAGTACCGGCAGGTGCCTGCGCTAACTGTTTATGCTGAAGGGGTACTAGTGGAGGATGATAAGATGAATATGAGGTCACTTAACCCCACCTGGACAAAGTCACCAGGAGTTTATCATGATGGTTTGCAGAGGCAATTGGTGTTATTGGTCCAAATTACTAACAATCCTCTTTCCCCCTCGTTGTCCATATTCAGCTATTATACATTTGTTATGTTAGCTAATGCTATTAAAATTAATCAATAGTATACATTGTTGTTTCGGTTGAAGGGTGATATATGGCAGTGAAATTGTAATTTCACTCAATCCTCAGGAATATTTATCTAGAGTACTGTGGGCGTTACAAAACGGTGGGATGATCATAAATACATAAATTAATTACTAATTTAAATAAATACAAAAGCCAATTTTTTTACAATTTGGGTTACATTAAGGATCCCTACTAAATCTGAAGATCCTTAATTTTTTCAGGTACTTTAGTCTATGTTACGGATTAGCTAGAACAAACAGATACAGCTAGATTGACAAAATTAAAAAAAAAAGTTTTTGATGTTGGTGTTGTATCATGTGTAAGTGAGATACAGTTAATTTGAAATTACAAACAGATACTTTAATTTTATTTTTATAGTATATTTTTTTATATGATACAACAATAGCAAACAAGCATACAGCCCATCTGATGATGAACGGTCACCGTAGCGACAAATCCATGGAATGCTAAGAAGTTCGTCTCATAGCATTAGACAACAGGTTCATGAAATAAAAGTTATGTATACTTCCAGATCCTCCGTGAAAAAGAAAAGGGAGATTGGCGCAAACTGACCATTGAAGAGAAGAAAACTCTATACCGCGCCTCCTTCTGCCAGACCTTCGCAGAGTTCCAAGCGCCCACTGGAGAGTGGAAGGCGGTTGTCGGCTGGGGCCTCGCCATCGCTTCCATCTCTGTATGGATCTACATGGGCATGAAACTCTTCGGTGAGTAATATTTAATCATTATTTTTTCTTGTATTATTTTCATTTCTGTGACCCACACATCACGTCCTGTGTCACGCTGTTTGGGTTGACTGGAAGAGATCTCTCTTAGATATCCTCCTTTGTAAACACAATTTCTAACATGTATATAAAATCTTGTGTTAAAGTGCAATAAAAATAATATATAATATTAATACATGAAGCGAAATCTTTGTACCTGTTAACGAAAATGCCGCATACGGAATTTCGCTCACTTATAGTTTATATAGAGAGGGAGTGCAGAATACTAATATTTTTATTTAATTTGTGTATAAAAATACATTAAATCAATGAAAATCATTACACACACTACCCACTCAATTTGACATACACAGGTATATGTCAAAATTGAAAATAGATTAATATTATTTAAATTATTTATGGTCAAATTTCGACTATTGGGTGACCACTAGTAAATGTAAATTAAGATTCTATTTTCCGCCTTAGCGTTTGGGTTAGTATAAAGATCTCAAAAGTGCAGAAGGTACCTAATATCTACACAGAGTACCAGTGGTAGACTGGACTAGTTAGTTAGTAGTTTTTTAGAGACTACTTCAGTCTACTTATTTCAGCTGCCAAGCAGCTTGCTTCGGAAGCTATTATTTTCGATTGTGACACATTAGGCAGTGAAATTACAGGGTAAGAATCATGACTTTTTAGTCTTCTGAAACGACAAGTTGTTTCACGGGCGCCACATAGACGCGTGATGTCCGTAGCGGTACTACGCACTTTTGAGATCTTAATAATAACCCAAACGCTGAAAATAATATAAATAAATTCAATGGCGGAAAATAGAATCTTAATTTACATTTACTAGTGGTCATCCAATAGTCGAAATTTGACCATAAATAATTTAAATAATATTAATCTATTCTCAATTTTGACATATACCTGTGTATGTCAAATTGAGTGGGTAGTGTGTGTAATGATTTTCATGTATGAAGGCTACGGTTACCACTTGGCATCAGGTTAAATCACTCAAATTGGTGTAACCTGATTTATGGCCAGCCATTGACCAAAAAATAACTCATTTTTCACAGTATACAGTCCTCTGCCCGATACCCTGAGCGAGGACCGCCAGAAGGCGCAGCTGAAGAGAATGCTGGACTTGAAGGTCAACCCAGTGGACGGACTCTCGTCCAAATGGGACTACGAGAACAACCGCTGGAAGTAAACTAGCTCGCTGTGAGTGTTACAAAGCAATTTTGACATTAAAACTATGACTATCGAACTAATATTATAAACGCGGAAATTTGTAAATGTAAGTGTAAAATGTAACAAAATCCATCCATCCAGAATCCATCCAGGAAAAGTAACAAAATCCATCCATCCATCCAGGATGGATTTTGTTACTTTTTCATGCAAACTACTGAATGACAGTCTATAAACTTCACGCGAATGAAACCGCGGGCGCAGGTAGTAAATTTATATAGTACAGTTGACGCAAGCAACATCGTCTCCATCACACTTACTTGACATTTATCATTTCGCCCAATTTATACATCTTTTTAAATTATAGTCTACTAGCTGTACCCGCGACTTCGTCCGCGTAAAATAGTGACCTTGACCAAATAATGAAAAAAATATATATTTAATAACCTAACCCAATAAAAGCCAAATGAAAAAGTTTCATCGTTTCATTTTCAAAAATGATGACATTCCATACATAACTCTTTCAACCCCTTATAACCCTTCTATCGCATTCAAAAGTAGCCTATGTCCTTTCTTAGGGTCTAGACTAACTGTGTAGCAAATTTCATTTAAATTGGTTCAGTAGTTTTAGCGTGAAAGAGTAACAAACATCCATTTACTGTTTTTTTTTAATATTTAGCTTGCGACTTGCCTAATGGTAAATGTTTACCGCCGCCCATGAGCACCCACAACACCAGGGGAATTGCAAGTGCGTTGTCGGCATTTTAAGAAGGAATAAGCTTATTTCTTGAAGGTTTCAATAATGTGATAACTCAATGGATGATCAGGATGATATTTAAGATTTGATTTGATTTGATATATATATAGTAATGATTTGTTTTCGCAGACGGTGTTGTGGTGCTACGAGTGCGGGCGGCGCGTCGCTACCTTCGCCGATAGAGTAGACAATGTAATATAAGTGAATAACTAAACTAAACTCTGTAAGATACGCAATAAATGTGATTCCAATCACTCCTGTGTTGACTTCGTTATTTATAAGTTTCAATTAATAATATCTCTGGACAATTCACACAGCGCTATTTAGTGGCAAGCTAAGCAGAGCTTGTGTTATGGCCATGATTACTGATATAAAAGATACTTAGATATTTTTGTTTCTAAATACATACATACTATCATAATTTTGTTTATTAGGTCTATTACAGACTTATGATATGTCGAATCTACTGTCATAGTGCTTTCGAGCCAAGAAAAATGACAATTCTAATTCTTTTCAAACGAGCGAACATGATTACAGAAATATACGATTCAATTAGGGAGAATGTAGTGACCACCAGATTATGCTATTGCATTATTGACAAAAGGATATACATAGAAAACATACAAACAATCATGTACAAGAATTTGTAATGTGCGAGGAATCGATCCCTTGACCATCGCAAGTAAGGCGGTACAGGGAAAAATTGTATGGTTTTTACAAGAAGTTATTCCGAAATGCGCATACGTAGTTATATAGTAAAAAGCTAAGGTAGATGTAATTATAAAATAGGTATAATAATTACAAGTTTTTAATTGGGAACAACATTTTATTATTTTTTCTTATAAAAACAACATTTCAACATAAACAATGTTACCATCCACTGAGCTTCATTTAAAACATGTATTTAAATTATTAATGAACATAGCACGTGCTGTTTCACATTAAATCTAACTATATTTATTTACAAGCTGCACCTGCGGCTGTACACGAGTTGCCTACTCAAAAAGACATATTAATATAAAATAGCTCAACTTTTTTTTAAGTAATTGGAATAACAAGCTAACGGCCACCTTATGGTAAGAGATAACCGTCGTCTACATACAAAAACAGTACAACGGATATCACGTTATCATGTAACACCCGTGATATATCATGCGTAGACATTTCAGAGGATTATGAAGTCATGACTAATATTGCAATATTACTGCCTAATTTCACCCTTCAACCGAAACAACACGCAAAGCAAGGTACTTGTCGGTTGTAATAGGTAAGTCTGTACCCACGCAGACTGAACTTTAGATCATTGAATCAGTTCATAAATGCATAGACAAACATTCTGAACAATACTTATTTTATCTAGGCAACACGTGTACATATTTTATTTTAATATATATACAGGCACAGCTTATTTATCTTTATTATATGTATGATTTAATTATTTATTCTTAAACTTGGGAATAAATTCAACATAGGTAATCTACGTGCATTTTATTGAACATAGAGAATTCGACAAAGGAAATCTTCCCATTCTGCTATAATATTTAATGAGATCAATTGCAGACCAGTCGCGGGAAATTGAGTAGAATCTTTGAATTTCCTTTGATGAATAATCTAATTGTTATATTAATTAATCTTTTTATAATACCTTAGAAGTAAAAAGTTACAAGATTTTTATATTGGTATATAAGTACGTGGTAATGTTTAATTACGTATCGTTGTTACGAATAATCCTCCTTTGAAACTGATAGTTCCACATTTTGTAATTATGTACAGACCCTTCTACACTTGGAATAGCTAGTCGACGCTAAGTTGTACTTAGCTTACATAAAATAGTTCATAGAAAAAGCACTCTTCGATTCTAATATGATTAAATTAAAGAATTATTAGTAGTGTTGTCCATAGACATTGCAAATGTAGTATTTCCAGAGACAAATTGTTTCACATTTTTAAAAATAACTGGAAGTATTTTACTCGTAAATAGGTATCATCGAGTATCTAAATCAAACAATATAAACTTGTAACTTTTTATACTTATTAAAATTCGTTTTAATTATAAAAATACTGATGGACAATGCAGGAATAACCTACATTATATATCTCAATCAACATCTATTCGTCCAATACTTTTATTCATAGATTTAATATTGAAAAATTTATTATTCAATGTATATATTATGTTTTAAATAAAAACACCTATCACAATTTTAGTCACAAACGTCGCCGACTTTAATCTAATATATTAAGTGGAATAGTTCTGAATAGATTTTATCATTCTTTCATTCGTCACTTGTCAATCAAGAAATGACAGCACTATTTAATAAAATAGTCTTGAGAGTAGACTCAACTTTGGCGCTCAAATTAGTTCACAGTAGGCACTATAGCGAACTAGTTCGTTCTTTTAGATCTATAATTCTTTACAAATATTACGTTTGAAGTGCATCGAATTATGAAAAATTCAACTGTTTGTATCGCAAAAAAGAGCAGAATTTATATTTAGGAGAGTAGAAATACCGTAAAACAAATTTTATACAGCTTAGGTACTGATATCGTTAATGAAACATTAACCATAGACTATAAATATTATAAACGAGCAAAAAATATCTTGTTAGCAACATAACGTAATAGACGGGATTTTATAACAGTTGTTTATTTAGAAAAAACTTATTTTCAATGCTAAGAGAGATAGAGAGAGCGAGATAACTTCCGAACTTGTTCGCTTAGTTTAATTAAAAGTGCGCCGTTCATTTCGTGAACTACCAAAGACTATTCAATGTTAACAATAACTAATTTACACGACTAGAATAGAAAACTAAAAAGGTAGGTAATTGAGAGATAGATTTTAAGAAAAACTTAACAAACTGAACTATAACAAAAACAATCTTATCTCAATAAACAAAGTATGAGCTAAGAATTAATAATTTAATATTGTTTAAACATTAACTAATTAAGTACATTGCGTTGTTATTAAAAATAACAACATAAATAAAAATACAACAACATTCTATATCTTAGGGATAAGGTATTTTGCCAGTAATATAACTAAATACACAACAGTAAGGATCTATAGAGCTTTTTATTAACTACTACATCTGGCAACATTTGCATTATCTGTCAATTTTTAACAGTAACATCAATACAGGACAATTTTTTTTTTTCTCTTCTTTGGCAAGACAGGACAATTCACATAGCGCCATATAATACTCAACTGAGCTTGTACTATGGGTACTAAACAACTGCATAGAAATACTTAAATACATACACAGAAAACACTCCAATCCATATAAACAATCATAATTATGAAAACAAATACATGCACCGTGAATAGAACTCGATGTCAGCCATTGAAACACTATTTTCGTTTCTTGTTCTTTATGATTCTATATCCTGTATAATTCAAGGGATTATTAGACTTAGGTGCAGGGAAATTACAAATACGAAAAACTGCAGTACATAGCTGCATGGGCTTAGTCTCTTTGTCTTTCTTATAAGATAAAAGAAAAACTACCATTTTCAAAAATTGTTTACTTTCTTTTATATTTGGGACCAGCTGTTTGCATATTTGTATGAACCTTTCAGTACTTACATACTTCTTTTACACCTGCGTGAAATTTATATACTATACCTATATATGTATTATTCTGTTGTATGAACTATGTTATTGTAAAGTTTCATCAAAATCCGTTCAACAGTTTTTGTGTGAAAGAGTAACAACATCCATCCATACTCACAAACTTTCACAATCATAATAATTGTAAGATAGTTTCATTTTTATAAGGTGCCAACTCTTGTAGCAAATTTTGCTCTATGGTTTTATTGTTTTTTTTTAATTGTCAGATAATGCATCCATTGCCGTAACTGTACAATAATTGTATTTATTTTTTATTTAGTATTCGAAAATATTTCATCTATATATTGTATGTATATGTAACATCTATTTCAAGGCAAACGGCCTATAACATGTAACTAACATAAAATTTTAAGACAAATACAAACAGTTATAGCTATATTTAAACATTGTTAAATATCTAAGAATCGAGAATCTAAAATGTCCACTTTACTATATCTTTAAATAGTGGAAATTTAAGTAATTCATACTATTTTTAGAGAAATCCGAAATTTAGGTCTATTGTGGATAAAAACAAATAAAATTGTTCCTATATGAGTATATAAAAAAGTGAAGATTTTAGATTCCAGATTACAAATACTGATTATCCATTTCCTCTAGAACGTTCTAGAACTATATTTGGAAACTAATACAACAAATAAGGTATAAGACAGGGCATTATTAACAATATTCATAAAAACTCCAACCTATTTTAATTAGATAGTTTTTGAACATTTAGTTTAGTTACTGTTTTTTTTAGTATTGTCTTGGCTTTCAGATTCAGTATTAAATGAACTAAGTACGCCGTGTCTGTCTGTATGTTTATGACAATATTAAAACTATTCAACATAGGTACATGCGGTTTTCATCCTTCAACCGAGTAATTAATTTCTTAAGGTGTGTAATATGTGTTTAGGTTACATTGGTTGAAATTCCCGTGTGAAACCAGGCGAGTAGCTAGTTTATTTATATGTGTAGGATATATTCTATACCACTTCTGCAGAAATTACAAAAATACTTAAAATTACGATTTATTTCAATAAAGACTTTATATAGACAATATTAGAAGAGAACACTGTAATACTTAAAACAGGTTGTAGTTTTTATGAATAAACATATAATTGTCACACGTTAGGGGTTGACAAACTGTGACAAGGGGTTGGGAAAAGTCATACGTTTCGTGACGTAACCTTACAATATTAATTTTATTAAGATTTTTTTTATTTTTATAATTTTAATCGTATTTATCTACAAACTCCACATGATGTTAAGTAATGATGATAATTAAAACAAAACTAATTTAAGAACTGCTGTTTGTTATTATCATCATTTCTAGAGGTAATATTGTAATACGTATGACGCCACACTAGAGAGGTCATTCTCAAAAATATGAACCGACTGTGGCACTAACGAGAGGGTAAATAATAAATATACATGTCACTTAGATTAGGATGACCCTCGAAATCTCCAATTACTAAATACATATGTATATCCTCTTTACTTAACTATTATATATTTGACTGCTATTTCTCTAAATATGACATTTAAAGCGATATAGAAGAATATATCAGACTCTTAATAAAATACTGACTGAATTCGACATCGGTTGCCGACGCAATATAGAATTGTAATGTTGTCATAATAAGGTACAAAATTAGACATATCTTTGTCTCGGATATCTGCTATATCCGAATGAAAACAAATTTCATTTTACGAACGGGGGGCATGTTACGTCGTTACTAACAATTCACAAGTAAAACAGAATAAAATATAGAATTTTGTAATTATATACGAATTATTACACAGTTATAATTGTGAATCGTTTTAACACTCAAATCTATACATATAAATAAAATGTGAGTGATTGTTTGTAATATTGAAATAGCAATTTTTTACTACATGCATATGAATATACAAGTGGCACGTATGTACCACGTGTATATTAAAAAGACAAAAATAGTAAAAAATGTTATTTTGTATACCAAAATAACATTTTTTACTATTTTTGTCGGTCTGTTTGTTCCGGCTAATCTATGAAATGGCTGGATCGATTTTGACGGGGCTCTTTTTGGCAGGTAGCTGATGTAATAAGGAGTAACTTAAGCTACTTTTATTTTAGAAAAATAAAGTTTATTTCCATGCGGACGAAGTCGTGGGAAAATCTAGTAATACATAAAACGCGACAAATTTAATTGTATTTAAAGTATCATAATTAACACGTTCAATTTTGTACCCTATTATATATGGAATAGTAAAGATTTCATAAGTTCACAAGAAATGTTTTTGCTTAAAATTTAAGTTCGGCCGTTATTCTATTAAAAGTGCGAATTATAGATAAAATATTTGATACAATAAGCATTAAAATATAGTACTTTCTTATAATAATCATAAGAAAATTTTAGGATTTATAAACCCCAATACCTACTATAGTTTTTGAACAATTTAGGTATTTCATACACATATCTATTTTATGATAAATTATCCTATATAAATTAAACGAGAGACACTCACTCTCCGTGCAACCCGGAGACGCATCTACTGATTTGGATAACATTTTGTATTTAGGTAAGGTTTCACTTTTACGATTGTCTAATTCTGTTTACTTAATAAAAACACATTAACGCCATCTAATAAAGTTTATAGTACTTTAATGATTGCTATAAGGTATTGGCATCTTTGGTATGTCTATAGGTACAGTAACTTCAAACTTCAGGAGGGCTTCAAAATTTTGCTTTTATTTTTGCAATCAAAAGGAAAAATAAATTCAAAATATCTTTATTCTTGCAGGTCTATTACAGACTCTTATGATATGTCAAATCTTATGATTTCGAGCTAAGAGGAACTGCAAAAAATTCAGCTCTTATTCTTTTCAAATGAGCTTTTATACATGTTTACATGTTACAGATTACTTTTTAAATTCCAATTAGGTAGAATAGAGTGATTATCAGCATACGCCATTGCAATTCTGTCAAAAGAAAATAGTCCAATCGTATATATTAACCAGTTGGTTACAGATTATAATACAATACAGAGTAGATATTTTTTAAATTATTACATTTCTGGAAGATATTTCAAAACTCTCCTAGATGGCGCTAAAACTACATTACCTATCTACCATAAAAAAAATTGCGTTTCAAGTTCATCTAAATAATTATTAGTAAGTATATTAAAAAAATAGAACACCGAGCGAAGCTTTGTCTCTGCCTAGGTGGGTACTATATTTAATAGACAATAAACTAAATTTTCACAGAATTAAATTTCTAACAGATTGTATATTGTCCACTGTTGGACAAAGGTCAATATTTCTGAACCTACAGTATTCACCAACGCCAGCTGCTTGCAAAGCTTTAATTTGTCCTGTAATTTTTTTGTAATAACATGTCTATTCCGATTATTAAGTAATCTGTTGTATAAAATACGTTTCTAGAAATAAATTTAGAATTGATTGGAATGAAAGTTTTAGAATATTTTCAAATTGAATGCTAGAAGTACGATAAGTTGGTACCGTATTACCGGTTAATACAATACAATAACATTCACAATAAAACTGTTTTGGAAGTAGTTTTTTGGCTTCTCAAATATCCACATTAAATGTATATTCCGATATCCACATGATTTTAGGCAATAGCTACCTTTGCATTTTAGTCCGCGAGTTAGCTTTTTTTAACAATTATTTGCACCCATTGAGAAAATTTATCACCTTGACCTATTTCTGGCTCGAGGGCCGTTTTAATTTTCAATTGAAATATTATTTTTTGTAACCCTTAACCGGATTTATTAATTCCGTTCTCCATTTTTTTAAAATAGGGGTTCGTTTTTCTGTCACCTTTAATATACACGAACATATTTTTATTATAATACTCATTTTATAAAGAAAATCCAAACGGATATAAATTTAAAGACTTTAATTGATTATGTCTACACGAGCTGCCGTTACCGAATGTACATTACTTTTAATATATTTCTGTTAAGGATTTTAATTTATTTCTTTTTATATGGATATTAATTTGGCTGTTTTACTATATCGTTACAATTTCGTTACAGTAAGTTTTGAGAAAGACTTTATTAGTTACTTCATTTATCGTTACTATAAAATAACGTAATACCTAGTTATAGTTACAATCGTTATTTTGAAACTGTTTTTGAAACAATAAATGAACTGCAGCACGTATATAATTATTGGAATCTATTATACATGTAGGATTTTGTATCTTTTATCCATAACTTTGTATAATAAAAAAAAATAGGCAAGTAGGATTCAACAGTCACAATTGGGGTACCATCACCCCTCGTGTTCTGACTAATCTCTGAAGGGGAACAGTCCCCCGACCCCTCCAGCGTCCCAGTCCGCTACTTCCACCGGCCCGAAGCATTCGTCGAAAAATTGCTCCATAGCTTTATGGAGGTGAATTGAGGAACTCCCAAAATCGTGTCCCTCGTCAGGGTACACCTGGAATAAGAAAATAGAAATTAAACAACGTAATTTTTTATGCAAGTGAAACAATTAGAGTAGACTCTGAAAAGTCGCATGGGTGTCAACTATTTCAGAAGCCAAGTAGCATCTGTGTTACCTATATTAGGCAGGCAAATTACTGGATAAGATGCATAACATGTTAGTCCTTTAGAATGGCAACGCCTAAGTGGTATTACAGGGGTTACATGACACCTTACGTCCATAGTGCTGTTCATGTATATAGGCGATAGCTACCGCTTTTCACCAGATAGGCCATCATCTTGTTTGAGTTGAGAGAGTAGCAGGCGGCGCAGTTTCTTTTTTTTTATTAAATTTATTTGTTTCTCTACTGTTTTTATTATCCCATTTTTTTGTATTATAAATATATTATGTAGTACTTCAGATGCGATTTCAAGAGTTATCTCATGCGCTTTCACATCACCGACAATTCATACTGCCCATGTGATGGAAACAGTGAGCAAACGTTTGAACATCTCTTCAATAATTGTCCTATTTTTGGAAGAGCCCGTTACGACCATGAACAAGTGTGCTGAATGCATAAAATTGACTCCCCCTACAAGTTGACCAGTATCATTACGAAGCCGGAGACTCTGGCTTCTTATGATGCACTTGCTAAAACAATCGTGAATAATTTAAATAAATGCGTAAATACATAAAATATTATATTATATATAAAATAGCACATATATGTATATATAAACATAAACTATTTCATATATAAATAATGTAAATATGTATATGTGTGTCATCTATATAAACATATACGATAAACACCTAGTGAAACACAACTAGTCCTACGAAAACTTCTGCTGTATCAAATCGCAGCTGAAGTCAATACATGTTAATAAAAAAAAAAAAATGTCAGTGAAACAGATAAAATAAATAAAAAGAAAAAAGTTTTAATTGTACAATGTGTTCGTCTGGAGGGGGTATCAGGCGGCGCGGTGCGTACCAGGTGCGAGTAGAGCGCGCCGGCGCGGATGAGGGCGCGCGCGAGTGCGAGCGCGTGGTGCGCGGGCGCGGCGAGGTCGGCGGAGGCGTGCGCCACCAGCAGCCGGCGCGGCGGGAGGTTGCCCGCGCGCCGCCACACCGCGCCGCCGCCGCCGCCGCCGCCGCCGCCGCCGCTGTACCGCTCCGTCCAGTACGAATCTGCAACGACACTCGGCAGCTGCCTTTACACGTACGCTCTTTCACGCGCGTACCGGGTTTCTCCCGGGAAAGAGCAAGGACGTACGTGCGACTTATCAAGGAATTTTCTTTCTTTTCTATACAAGTATAATATATATTGGAATTACCCTTAAATAAATTAAAAACATCTGTTAAATCATATTTACTGAGCGAGGCCTATTACTCACTAAACGATTACTTGAATGACGAGCGTGCATGGCAATAGTTTTCATGTTCGGGATTTTCATTTAATGTTAGACTTAGACACCTATATAAATACCTATGTATTGTAAATAAACTGGATTTTAATTCAAAAAAGTAATTCAATTGAGTTTGAATTTGCCATTTGTTCTTCTCAATTGGATCTATATACCGAACTGGACGGTAGGGAAAAAAATAAAAAGTATAGCCACTGACAATCTTTTATAAATAGATTATAAACCATCCTTAAATATAATCATGAGTAGCATCAGAAATAATGCCCAACGCTATCTAACCTAACATAACGTATAAAAAAAATTAAGGGTACATCTAAAATCTATCGAACTAACTGTAGTGCCGTAGATCTGTGAGCGGGGCCACGGCAGCCAGGCATCGCGTGACGTTCCTGGCATCATCGGCCGCGAGAGCAGTGGCCGCGCCACCGCCGTACCCTCGGCCCCACACACCCACCCGTGTCCCGTCCACCATTTTCAGGTTATCACGGAGATATCTGATAATCAAGATGATATTAAATTGAATTAGCTGCCTTTATACTCTTTCATTAGCGAATTTTCTTTCAAGTAAGCGTGTGCTTGTAAAGGCAGACAAAGACGCTTGCGTAATCAAATTACTGATTTGTTAGAAATTTATATATCAAAGAGATGTATCAGAAACAATGCATACTTGAAATATATGAGTAATCACGCGCCAAATAGAACATTTGTTAAACACACACACAACACAAGATTGTTAAATAATTACTCACGAATGCGTGAGTGCGTTTATCTATGAAAGTGTTGAGTAAACACATAAAAATTAACCGTCATCTAAGCCGGCCCTTCATTTTTTTTTTTTATACTACTATGGTGGCAATCAAGCGTACTGCACATCTGATGGTAAATGGTTACCGTAGCCTATGAACGCCTGAAACACCAGGGGTATCACTTGTACGTTGCCGACCCTTAAGAAACCTTAATATACCCTTCTTGAAAAACCCCATGCTGTAGTCTCGTGGGAAAACCTCGGCAGGAAGTTCATTCCACAATCTAAGTGTACGCGGGAGGAAACTCCTCAGAAATACTCTTCTCTTATAACTCTTCATATTAGATTTAGAATGTTATTTGAATAAAAACGCATAAAAAAATTAATTGTTCGGTAACTCAAGTTAGGTGAATAGATACCACTAATACCACTTCACGCAAACATTTAAATGCTGGTTACATGAACCGTTTCAATTCACGTAATATGATATTGTATTTCGAAGCACGTTGCGAAAAATGTACTAAGATAGTTAAATGTTAAACGTAACAAATTTATAACTACAGTAGCAAAGTAACGGTAATTAACTAACTACAAGAATATCGTAGTACCGACACGATACAGGTGCCACACTAGATACTTTGTACTCGGTACCATTACCACTATCAAGTATAGGTACTGCTTTATTAAAAGAATTTTCTAGCTCTTTTTTCTTTCATCCGGCAGCTATGTAGACTGACCCTGCTGTTCTTTTATCAATTTTAACATATTATTTTATATAAATTTAATTAGCTTTATTTTTTAGATCGCACATTCTTTTGTTTATTATTAAAGTTTATGGTCAAATTGAGACATTATTTGTTTATAATCATACTAAATGTTAAATACATTGGCGACCACTAATAATGATCTACAATACATACGATCATCATCATCATCTGCTTCTTCCTTATCCCATTTATTTGTGGTCGTCGTAATATGTTTTTCGCTTCCATTCAACCCTGTTCGCAGTCATCGCGTTATTTACTTCCTTTCTTACCATATCATCTTTCACACAGTCCATCCATCTCTTTTTTGGCCTTCCTCTGCCCTTATAACCAATATCTACAATACATACGATAATACAGCGATTTGGTCCTCGACGTCTACCGACAGCAGTTTGTTGTATATCTCAGTTTTCAGCTCTTCACCCTGCAAAGAACATATTATTATTCATCCAGATTCATCAATAGTTGGTGATATAGTCCAAACAATATATACATATTTGTCTAAGACAAACATATGTAATTTTCAATTTGAACTATCTATAGTGATATTTTACAAATTAACAGCTTTTCACTAAATGCATATGATAGTTTCGTATGTATTTAGTGTACGGTACATAGAATAGTAAGAACATTACAAATATTTTCTAGGATTATCTATCTATCTGTTTGTTCGTGGTAGTTTCTGAGAGACCTGGACCGATTTTGACGAGACTTTCACTCACAGATAATGTTATAATTCGTAATTTAGGTTACTTTTATTATAGAATATTTATTTATTTTAATAATAAAAGGTAGCAGATAGCTAATAAAAACAAATTAAAAAAAGTCAACCCATTTTTAAATTTATCGGAAGTCCTCAGGTTCATGTATATAGACAACAGTTACCGCATACCATCTTCTTATCAGCTTGTTTGCCATTCCAATAGCAAAACAGCCACTAACCTGTCCGCCTGATCCCCTGGCGTCTATTTCAGCTACGATGAAGTTCCTGGCCGCCGCCAGGTACCAGCCCCAGTCGGGCCACCACTTTTCCGTCACCAGTTGCCCGCCGGGCTGTGCTGACCTGCAGAGCATCATACTGTAGGATCACACATAATTTGCAAAATACAGCTGCTCGCTAACTATGCAAGAGGAAGCTCTTCTAAAACCATACTGTCCAATACCACTTATAGGTTCCAGCGTGTGGAATGAAATATTTCCTTGAAAATGAAAGAATGAATTCCTTGTCGATGTCAATTTCATTCCAATCGACGAAGTGGTAGTAAAGAGAAAAGTTAATAAAAAGTCATTTACATTCTCAGATTGGAGTGTTTACAATGTTAATATACACTCACACATGTAATACTAATGGTAGAGGCAGGTCATCCGTTTCTCTGAACCCTGGCGGCAGCAGCAGACGCACTCTAGCTTCTCGATTCGTTTGTACCTGCAAGTAAAGGAACTGATAAAGACTAGTTCTGTTCTACAATATTATGAAAATAAATAAATACGGGAAAAACCAGAGTTCTTTCATCGTTCATCGTTCTTCTATCAGAGTTCATCCAGAGATTTATTATGATCATCATCATCGCAGCCCGGAAGACGTCCACTGCTGGACATAGGCCTCGCCCCAAAGATCTCCACGACGATCGGTCCTGCGCTGCTCGCATCCAATGCCTTCCAGCGATCTTGACCAGATCGTCGGTCCACCTTGCTGGAGGCCTTCCCACGCTGCGTCTTCCGGTCCGTGGTCGCCACTCGAGGACTTTACTGCCCCAACGGCCATCTGTCCTACGAGCTATGTGCCCTGCCCATTGCCACTTCAAAGTCGCAGTTCAGTCGTTTATTATGATAAATGAGGAGAAATTTATTTTTTTCTTTTAATGCATGGTATTTTTTCATTTATTTATTTACTACAGGCAACTTAATATTTAATGAACGAATCAACGAGTGATCGATTGAACAAATGAACGAAAGAACGGATGAACTAATGAACGAATGAACTAATGAACGAATGAACGATTGTATAAATGGATGAATAAATAAATAAATAAAGATCCTGTTTTAGACTCACTTCGACCCTGAATACTTTGGACTGCGGCTGCGCTAGCGCCGCAAACTTGTGCCTGAGAGGCGCCCCGTCCCACAGCAGTGCGCGGCGTGCGCCCGACATCGAACACACGAACGTGGCCGGCGGCCCGGGCCCGAGGCATTCCTGACGGAAACACCGATTATAATAATGTTCATGTAAATGTTCATCAGTGTACGGTTTGATGCAATGCAGCCTCTCAAACTATCATCATAGGTATATATATATAACTATGCCTTACAATACTTTACATACTAATATTGTAAAGAGGTAATGATATCTATGTTCCTTTGTTCGGGGTAATCTTCGGTTCGTTGCGTTGGCCGGGTAACGGTTAAAGTTACGCAAAAATATGTATGACGGCACTAATCTCCTCTAAAAGTTCTAAAATAAAGATCGTTCCGAACCATTCCATTGTCATCTATTAAAAATAGTTATTTTTTAATTCATTGACTAATTCATCTGGAACTTTTCACGATGGTTTACAGGGGGAATTGCGTGGAGATCGAAGTGACATGGTACATTGCTAGCAAGAGGGTCCTAAATTAGGACCCTCTTGTAGGGATGGTAAGTAAAGAGTAATAGGATTCCTAATCCCCATTACTAATCATCCTCTTTTCTCCCTAACCCAAATATATTATATAGTCGATCATTATAAATATCTACCTGGACATAGTACGAGAAGTTCTTGCTGAAGAACACCCGGTTATAAAGGCAGACGGTGGGCAAGGTGTCATTCTCATTGGCCACATGTGGGAGTACAGTGGACGTGGGCCAGGCCGGTAATGATGATGTAGAGTTCCCACTTTCCTGAGCAAATTAAGAAGAAAATAATTATCTAGTGGATATGTTAATAAGCTTATTTTTGATTTGTACACTAATTGGAATGGTCATACTTTATTTATGCTAAAATTTAAGAATTTTACTATACTAGCGATCCGTCTCAGCTTAGCATTTATGCATTAAAGTTTTGCATTTCGCATGTTACAAATCTTTGAATTTATCGGCTTGTTCCATACTATAATACGCATGTATTATACATATAAACCTTCCTCTTAAAACACTCTGTCTATTGCTGAAAACTGCCTGAACATTCATTGCAAAATTTAAAAGAGAGCAAACAGACAGCGAAAGTTATTTCGTTTTATATTATGTAAAGAACCGTATATACTGTTACTTTGAAATAGCAAAAACATATCTTCTTTGATTTTAATTATTTGTATGTATCGATAATGCAGAAACTAGAGCCGAAGTTATTTCGGTGATTGAGCAGAAAGATTGCGTTGCATAAAAACCCTTATTATAGAACAAAATAATTCTTACCGGATCTTCACTGGTTGGTTCAACTGTGGAATCAGATGGAAGAAATTCCGCCTCCGGGCAGGTGAGGCAGTGAGCTGGTGGTGGCCACGTCATCTCGTCTGCTGGCACTGATATCCGGTACAAGTGTCTCTCACCTGCTTTGTCCGGTGCTGTACCTATTAAGTACCTGAAATATAGACATTATTGACTTCATAAATCAATATTCAAGCAATGAATGTGATAGTAATAAAAAGTATTCTTTGATAATATAGCTATATAAGTTTGTTGTTTTATATAGAACTTAAACCAGCAAAAGTACAGGAACTACATATATGCTGCTATTTTTTTGACCTTTTATATTGTGTAATTGTAATTATTTCTATGGCGCCCCCTAGTCATCATCCAGGACAAAAGTGGCGGAAATACAGTGTCCGTTGTAGAAATCTTTCAGTTCAGTCAAAAATAATTCAAAATATCCAGTCTATAAGGTACATTGCATGTATCAACCTTGTATTCGTCATCCTTGACTTCTCCTTTTTTTATACTACGTAGGGAGCAAAGAAGCCTACTGCCCATCTGATGGTTACGATTATTGTAGTCTATGGATAAATCACTGGAGGTGTGCGTGCGTTGCCGACCCTTAAGAGTCCTTGTAGACGTAGTTAATTCCAATCTATGTGTATACTTGGCGGGACGCAGCTCCTCCATTCTTCAGAAGGCAAAACAATTTTCAATGTAAAAAGTAAGCAAAAGGAAGCGCCTGGTCTCACAAGTGTACCTACCTCGGACAGTACAACCAAAGTATACAACCAAGTAATGCAAAAGTTTTATCTATCTAAAGGTTTTTTGATTTTGACCAGATATCAACTCACGACCTTTCGGTATAAGTTTGTATTATTAATAATTAAGCCACGACGTTAGTGTTCAATGCGAAACTAAGTAGCTTGGTGATTTCCATGGTCTTAATACCAGTTGCTGAAATTCACCATCGGTCTTCACCTTGCATTTTTCTAGATACTTTTTGCCACGTACAACCACATTGTGGAATTCACCATCCAGCTTCCAGTTCGATATTTCTGAACCGATATAATATTGAAACCTTTAAGAATAGAGCTTATTCCTTCTTAACAGGCCAGAAAAGCACTTGCAATTTCCCTGGTGTTGCGGGCGCTGATAGGCGGTGGCAATCACTTACCATCAGGTGAGCAGCAAGCTCGTTTGTACTTATACTGTACAAAGTCATTTAAAGGTAATATGTACAGAATACTTACAATAATCTTCTTCTGTCGTCCCACCCAACGACCTGGGTAATCTCATAGTTGCCCTGTGTGAGCGCGGTCTTGGTGTCCTGCGAGATTCTGACGGCGTGTCTCCAGGTGCCGCCGCCGTCGGCGATGGGCGCGGTGGTGAACAGCCCCGCCTTACCACCCGCCAGCGCCGCGCCGCCGCACCACCCGCATTCTTCTGTCGTCGGCTCTGCGCCGAGACCCGACCAGCGAGTACCGTCCGTTTCATCGCGAAATATCTGAAAGATAAAAGAATCTTCTTGGTTTATGAACCCCTGGTACTTATAATATTTGATGGTCACTTTTGAAACAACTTTAGGGATTTGTATCTTTGACATCATCTTACAAAAAGTGACACATTATGAATTATCCTTACTAACATTATTATCTAATCTGTGCTAATAATATAAATACGAAAGTAACTCTGTGTGTCTGTTTATCTGTCGTGCTTTCACGTTAAAACTACTGAATCGATTTAATTGAAATTTGTTATGAAAAAGTAATCTTGAAACTTATTTATATGGCTTTTTATAATTAGCTTAAATAACTTTAAATGTCACTATTCGACATGCACGAAGTAGCGGGTGCACTAGTACCATATATATTTATGTGTTATTAGTATTATTGTATTGACTTGACTATTCGGCGTCGTTGTCTGATCTGTCACACAGTCGTAAACATGTGGTGTCAACTTACATCTTGGCAATTGTATTGTGCAGCGTTGCAGATGCTGACTATGGAGAAGTTCTGAGGCCTGTTGAGTAACAACACAGCTATCTGCCGTTCTGATATCCATTCCGTCCACCTTACGTACCAACCTGTTTAGAAACATTAATCAATTATTAACAGAAACGTACCACTTTGGTACTGGTTCATCTGAATAGAATAGAATAGAATTGATTAGAAAATTCTTTATTCAAATAAATTTAATTTAAGCATTTTGAATAAATAATATATTAACAATAACAGCAATAAATAGTCCAGGACAATTCACACAACGTCATCCTGTCCCATAATAAGCTGAGCTTGTGTTATGGGCACTAGACTATTGATAGAAATGGAATAGATATTTTCTTGGTAAATACATACATAATTATAAACAAATAGATATTGAAATGCTCGCTTACAATGATGTAAATAAATAAGTCATGTATATAGAAAACAACCAGCCAGTCGTACTCATGAATACGAATATTCATTCCATGCGAGGAATCGAACTCGCGAGCAACGGAAGCTGCTAAACAGCTAAATCATCATCATTGCCTTGCCTTTATCCCATTATTTGTGGTCGGCGCAGTATGTCATTCTCTTCCACTGCTCTCTATCGGTCGTCATATCTGAACATACTCTTCTTTTATTCATATCATCTTTCACACAATCTATCCATCTTTTCTTAGGGCGTCCCCTCCCTTATCCTAAATTATCGAGTAAAATTGAAGTATCTGTTTGTAATTAACAGATTCTGACTGAATGCTTATGAAATTATATACATTAAAAAATAATTTAAAATAAATTTGACCGTCTGTCATATCTCTGAAACGGCAGGACCGATTTTGAAGTTACTTTCACTAGTAGATAGCAAATGTTATTTGGAGTAAATATCATTTATATTATATCCAGACAAAATCGCGGGTAAACAGCTAACTAGCTGAAGTTAGAATAAGTGATTCGTCTTACTTTTATCTACTGGCGGCGAGAACTGTATTGGATGTGGGAACAGATACTTCAGCGTCTTCAAACTGACCACGTACACCGTCGCTACAGGATTATTTGTATTCACCTGAAAATAATATTTTTATTCGACAACTGTGATGCTTAAAAGAAGAAAGACTTACTAAAAAAATAACTATGCAAGAGACTGAAAAACTGTGACTGGCATATACGTTTGCTTTAAACTTCCAAAGTACTTACAACTGTGAAGTGAATTTACTGATGTTTGTGAGTCACTATATAGGTAATTGTGCAATGTAACATTCAACTGATCCTATTACTATTTATGATCATTAGTTTTTTAATTTCTCCATTCGAGGGTAGGTTATTCATAATTTATATTATTAGATTTCATCACAAATAAAAATGCCCCTCAGATCGATCCCCCGTCCAATTCCAACGGGGATCGAAATTATGACGGCCTGAGTCGAGGTTCGCACCCCTAGCGGTGCCCTCGGACTAAAGTCGTATCCATCAGGCAGGAGTTGGCCTATAGCCGCTCCACAAGTCCTTCCGCGTGTCTGGAGTGCCATTTGCACTCGTCCCCTATCGTTCGGTAAAGCTATAAAGACCAGCTGCGGCCAACAGCATTCGAGTGATTAAAAGATATGTAACATAAATAAACGAATTAAAATATAAAGTATACTTACTTTGGGGTACCGTAATGTTTTTATGGTGGGGTACGCTGGAGGCTCCTGCTGGTCGAGCCCGTACCACGGGTACTTGTGCTGCTGCACCTGAGTATTGTTGTATGTTATATACATCAGGGTCTGGCCATCCGGACTGAACCACAGTGCTCGGTCCAATCTTAACACTTCAGTCTCATACAGAAAGTCTGGTACACCGTTGAAGATCACACCCGGCACCCCTGGAAAGACACAATCATAATGTCTATTACTTGAAATAGAAACAGACAATCTTTATTCTAATAAACCTAATATAAACACTAGGGGAGATGTGGATAGTTAGTAATGGAGACTAATATCCCCATAGTTAGCAATGTACCATGTAAGGTTGACCTCCACGTGGAAACCATCGTGACACATTCATGGTGTATTTACCACCATTCCATTATCATCCATAAAAAGTATAAGCACTTTTTAACAGTTATATATATATATATATATATTGATTCTTATTCTGATTCGGATGCTTCTTTTCACAATAAGAATGAGCGTGAAACTGGTAACTGTTGCTCTTTTACACAAGAAATGCATGTGACAAGCAACATAAAAACCGCTACTCACTCATTCTTTGTGCAATCAGATAACGTTATTAACACTATGAATTTTAAGTTACTTTTTTTTCTACAAAATACGATTATAATTTATAAACTATTCAATTTTCTAACAATCTATTTTTTCAGAGAAAGATGTTTTTTAAAAAGATATTCAACAAAATTAATATTCTTGCTTTAAAAATATATAATCATTTGACATTCTTTTAGTATTGATTGTATAAACTGAACTGGACGGTACGCCAAAAACTTGACATTCGTAAGTGATTAAAACGTAAAAATCTTTTTAATATCTGTTTTTTAGGTGTAAATTGTATCTTACCACTTTTAGTAATTCTGCAGACCAGAGTCTTGAGCATCTTTGGCTTGTAGTATATGTCGTTGTCGTGCACGAACACCAAACCTGCACCAGTAGGGGACCACTCGGCATACTGCAGCAAGGGTGCCGTCCGGTCATCTTCTACAGGAGACACGGGGATTTTGTTCCTGATGAGGACACATATAGTTAGTATAAAAGGACAAGATCTGTATGTCCATAGGTCATAGTTAGAATGAAATGGCAGATCAACTCACGGCCCACAATGGTAAACACTAACCGTTAAAGTTGATTTTCCAAAACTGTTTTAAGTTAATTCAGTTTATTTGTTTTTTCGGGATCAGATCAGGATCAGATCAAGGGATCGATACAAGGTTAGATCAGAGGGGTGAGGGAATGCAATTTATTATTAAGTTTACAATACATAATATGTCAGTTTACATATATCAGAATTTCAATAGCGATCTTACAGCGCCGTCTAACGCTACGTAGTTCAAACTGGGTAGTTTAACTGAGCTTTTTAGCTGTAATGTACTACAGCTAAAAAGCTCAGTTTACACAGAAAATATATACTATAAAATTTGTTAGTTTGCTCGAATATTACTTATAATAATATATTTACACGTAGCTTGTAAAATAAATTACCTGCCGAGGTTTTTTTGAGACTACGACATGGGGTTTTTGGAAGGGTTTTTCATGAAGTGCCGAGCTGTCCGTGATGCTATTCATGTATATAGGCGATGGTTACCACTTACCATCAAGTCGAACAGAGGTTTACTAGCCATTCGAGTCATAAATATTTCTCCTTTATACATATATGGAGTGTTTTGATTGGTAATATATGTTTTATGTAGCCAAAGTTGGTATACAAGATATATATAGTATGTCTTAATTGGAAATATCTGTTATTTACTTTATAATATTAAATGTTTGAATACTCGCCTGTTTATGACGTCGTACACGTGGTACCTGGCGAGCCGTCCATGCCTCCAGCCGGGCCGTACGTCTGATATTAACAGGACGAACTTGAGATCTGCCGACACTTTGAAGTCCACCGCGTTTAATTCTCTCTGGAAATTAAGTAATAAGACTCATTAGAAAACGCTACGCTACTCGATCTGTGTTGTATTAATCATATACAACCTTATTTGAATAAAATAACAGCTGAATTTCTTGTCAGTTCTTCTTAGCTCGAAGACACTCCGAACTGACCGTATATTTAACATGTAATAAGTCTGTAATAGATGACTACATGAATAAAGATATTTTGATTTGATTTGTAAGACATAGACGAATTGTATATAAAGTCCACTTTTTCATTTGATATTTTTTTAATTTTGAGATAATATTTTTAATACTGTTCTTTTTATGTTTTTTGATATATTTCGCTTATATTCTTAACGTAGTTCGAAACTGCATTGTGACATTTTTTTATGAATGCTGTGGATTACACTGGCTACATGTAATTTATGCTCATTCATATTCATGCTCATTGCATGAGCATGAAGTCAGATCAGTTAGCCCATCGTAACAGTATCACCAAGAATTTACCACAATGGTTTCCAGGGGAAAACGCGTGGAAGTCGTGATACAGTATATTGCTAGCAATGGGGTTATTAGTCCACATTAATAACAATTCCCTTCTCTTCTGCATTGTGATATTGTATTCTACTATTATAATCTACGTTTTCATTACTTAAACACCAATACAGTCCACCAATCTTTTCCGTTCTGTGAGATATGTCAGTCAAATTATTGGGTAAGTAGACAAATATTACTTGTTTTAAACTATTCCGTCTCTCGCCTGCCTTGACTGTTATTGCATTCCAAGTTGTATTGAAACAACGATAAAGTTTCAATTGTTTCCAAGTATTGTGTATTGCTTGTGATAAATGTACAAACATTTGTATGTGTACAGCACCTAATATTTCGCCGTCTCGCCGCCATTTGTAAAATGCGGCGCTGAGAGAAATTTCGATTTAATCGTATCGGATATTCGTTTTTTTATCATTCCTACTGGGAATAATTTATATCGGGAAGTATTGGAGCGATATTCTTCCTTTTTTAAGATTTTTCTCATTAAAATGATCTCGCAAAATCTCAAATATATAGAAAAAATTATGCCTGTTTGTAATTTTATGTCAGCTTTTCACTAAATGCATATGAAAGTATATACGCTATTTGCATCAAAAAAATATTTGTATGTCTATTTATTAGTTCTTGCTAATCTCTGAAATAGCTGAACCGATTTTAACGGGACTTCCACTCGAAGATAGCTAACGTTATAAGGCAAAACTTCTACTACATATATTTAAGAATTTTTATAAAAAAATATTATATAAGGTTTCCATTTAACCTTTTCTGTTCGAGTCCCTAAAAAAGACAGCTATAGACGTGTCAAAGAATAGGAAAACACCAACGTGTCAGTAAATGGTAAGATGGTAAGCTTTATCCTGATTTATTGTTGTTAGAGGCAAATAAAACAGGCTCGGAGAGACGCGTGAAGCTTAGGAATGTGTGAACGAACTAGGCGCCTTACCTTATTATGTTTTACAGGGGCAGACTTTGTAGAAATTTGCCTTAGGTATTCTCAGTCTCACATATTTCAGCCGAAAAGCAGCTTACTTTGTAAGTTATAGTTTTCTGGAATGGCAACGCATGTGGGGTGGAACGGATGTCGCGTGGTAACAGAAGTCTGTAGGTAGGTACATGGGCTCGATAGGTTTAGAAGATCAGCTTATTTCTGATGGTCGCGGTTCTGATTCTTCGCTCAAACATTCGTATTCATGAGTATGATTGTTTGTATCGGTCTGGCTGTTCTATGTTCTATTCTATGTATAATATGTATGTATTTACGAAAAAAATATCTATGTATTTGTATCAGTTAACTAGTACCACAACACAAGCTTTAGCTAGCTTAACTTAGGACTAGAAGGCGTTGTGTGAATTGACCTGAGATTATTATTATAATATAGGTCCAGGTTATACGCAACAAGACAGTTAACATTTAAGATCATCGGCTTGTCAGTCCAATTATATACAAAAAATTAAGGCTTAACTTCAACCGGCAAGTACTTTTGCTTTGTGAGATAGGTATAGCCTCTTGATGGGCGGTTTGTTCGACTAACTAAAAGCTAAGGATTAATTATAATAGTATGAACAATATAAAAAAAGCATAGAAATCGTTTAACTTAGCCTATCTTAAGAGTGTGCCATACATGTGGATTGTTATTTTGTTTTCTTTATTGTTTTTTCGTTCTCAACCGTGAAATTTATTTTAAAACTTGCTAATAACATAGATGGCACCACATGACTGATCATCTAACAGATTAGAAAAGACACAATTTTACATTGTACAACTTTGGAACCAATAAGAGAATAAATAAACGCGTACGAGGCAGGCAAACAATTCAGAAGAAAGAAAGAAAGAAAGAAAATATTCAGTATTCAGGACGTATCGACGCGCGTTTATCTCACGCACAATTACTTGGGACTTGCGCCGTACATTATCCTGTATTGTAAGAGCCATATATAAATAAGATACGTTTATTTATTTATTTGCTCTTTTGCACACAAAAATGTCATGGAGGACGTAATGCCTGATGGCATTCTGTACCAGTCAACCGTCGCGTTGATCAGACATAATAAGGCGGTGCAATTTAATACAAATATAAAAAAAATAGATAAATATAGAAAATCTACATATCTTATATATAAAATTCTCCTGTCACTGTTTTCGTTCCCATACTCCTCCGAAACGGCTTGACCGATTCTCATGAAATTTTGTGAGCGTATTGAGTAGGTCTGAGAATCGGCTGACATCTATTTTTCATCCCCCTAAATGTTAGGGGTAGTTCACCCCTAATTTTTTTTTATTTTAAGGCAAAACTACGTTTGCCTATACTAACTGTCCCTAGTATATACATACAAATATATAATCATACTAATATACCTATGCAAAATATATAATTACATATACAAAAAATATATAAGCTTGAGCAAATATAATATAAAATTCAACTATAATAAATATTTATATAGTCTCAGGGAATATATCTTCAGATAGAAGTTTAGCTGAATAGTCTTAGAGATATTACGAATAATGTTCACGCAAGGATCTCTTCATGATGAATTTGGTTTGACATCTTTCTCAGGCTAACAGGAAGTACTATCCAAAAATTGATTAGCAGAAATTGTGAAAGATTGAGATAAGAAATTAAAGCATTGACTCCTTCTCATGTATGCAGCAGTAGATTAGAAGAAGAGCGAAGATATGTGGATGGCCTCCTGTTACAATACAGGATAGTGTCTATTATTATCAGAGGCCAAATTGTCACTATTGTAATGAAATCCCCAATGAAATATGCCGCAAAATCGAGAAAAATGAAAATCAGACGAAGTTGCGCGTGTTGTATAAAAATCTATATATCATATTGTTAACACCTTATTGTTATATCATTAACACCTAATATTACTATTTATTTATTATACTAACCATAATTACCTATATTTGGCAAATAAAGTATTATTCTATATAAATAAGTAAACTCGAAGTGTATGTTTGTAATTTCTAATTAACAGCTTTTCGTTAAATGCATATATATATACATAAGGTACACCAAAACATTTTAGAAATATTGCCTGAGTTTAAGTTTTCTTCTGGCTAATCTCTAAAATAGCTGGACGGATTTGACGAGACTTTCCCTAGTAGATATCTAATATCATAAAGAATAACTTAGGTTACTATAGATGTAGAAAGATATTAATAAATAATGTATGGTACATTATTTATTATTAGATACAATAGATGTAGAAAGGTTATTTATTTTAATTTCACATGGACGAAGATGAGATGACTGAGAATGAAGAATGGCGGGACTGAAATAAAGGTTTAACGTTTCATACTAGCTAATGAAACGTTAAACAATTTTTTTAGTCCCGTTTTCACAGCTGCAAATTTATTTTAGTTTGGAAATACGAACGAATCAACGACTGGACAAAAGGTGCGTCAACAAAATAAATAGCGCTGGAAATTTGTGAGTTTATACAGCACAGCTACCTTTGCTTTCAATACTACTTCAATGAATATTGTTTCAATATTGCATAGTAAATGTCCATTGTATATCCAATTCAATGTCCTTCATATTGAATGCAATAGACATTTTATGAAGTGATTCTTTTTTTAAACCCTTGTGTTGAAAATATTATAAGTTTCACTTGTCTGTTTGTTTATGTGTAATGTGTAAATGGTTCAAACTATAAAAGAAATTTAATGTTCAAGTGCGGTTATACGGTTTGTGTCAAATTCTATTTTTTATTACATCAGATAAAACGTTGATTATACTTGAGTTCGCTAACAATTTAAAAAAGTTCGCCGTCAAACATCAGCTACTTACCAAAAAAAGTCCCGTCAAAATCGGTCCAGCAATTTCTGAGTTTAGCCGGAACAAACAGACCGATAGACAGAAAGACAAAAATTGTAAAAAATGTTATTTTGGTGTATGTACCGTATTTATATTCATATGCGTGTAGTGAAAAATGGTTATTTCAATATTACAAACAGACACTCCAATATTATTTATATATATAGATGTATAGATAAAACCGCCATGATCTCCTATTTTATTACCTATACAAGGCAACAAAAAGGCAGGCAACAACAGGTAAATAGCAGATGTAGGAGTACTCACAAATGTGGAGTTGTTCATTAGGAGTCTGGTGGTGAAGTTCCTCACGTTGAACAGCGTGAGTCCGCCCCACCGGTCCCGAAACACCAGCTCCTCATCTGCAACAAGCAAACAAACGATAGGTTAACAAAATTGTGTCATCAGACAATTTCTATTATATTTTAATACTATGAGAATATCTCTGAACAATTCACACAGCGTCATCTAGTTCCAAGGATAGCAGAGCTTGCGTTATGGGTACTAGTCGACTGATATAAATACTTCTTTATATGTATATGTATATATTTTGTAAATACATACATAACATGGTTGTTTCAGTATTGTGTTATACCGAAATACCGATACAAACAATCATACTCATGACTACAAATGTTTACACCGTGTGAGGAATAGAACTTATAACTATCAGAAGTAAGACGATGTGCTGAACCATCCAGGTGCAATAGAGGTCGTCGATATAGAAGGTTAAATATTCGTACAAAGCCGGGCCGATACGCTAGTGTTATATTATATATTTCTAATAACAATACATTTTGGTGTCTACAAAAACAACGCCGTTAATATTAGCAGCGCCTCAGGGAAGATGTCAGAAAAAAATGTCCGGGCGTTAATTGAGATTTAATGTTTCTCGTTAACGGAATGGCGAAATAATTAAATTTCCCCTCGTATATGATCGATCAGCTCGTGGAATTTCATGTTTATGATGTACTTCATAAATATCAAATTCTTTAAGAGCTTGTGTTATGTTCCTCTGATATAAATACTCAATTTTTTTTTATATAACTAACAACCCTTCGCGGTTTCGTACGGATATATTATTATACATATATATAAACCTTTCTTTATTTATTGCTAAAAACTACATTAAAATCTGTTGCGTAATTTAAAAGATATAAGCGGACAGACAGCAGTGGCGACTTTGTTTTATACTATGTAAAAATGTCTCGACTATGGTGGCATCTGAAGAAGACGACTGAAAAAAACTAATATCTTTTTTTGTAAATACATTCATAATATATATCCAGAAAGAAAACACCGTGCGAGAAATCGAACCCGCGGCAATCGGAAGTAAAGCGGTGTGCTAAACCACTGAGCCTATCGGTATATAAAGTCTACCGCAATGAATATGTATTCAAGTAACATTTCAAAATCCTCATTACGTTTTGTAGCGTTTAATGAAGTAACTTCAAAGACAATGGGGACAATTTGAACGTTTTCGTTTAAAATTATTGAAGTACTAATTAGTATTGAGTCGAGGGGCTCGTTAGTGGCTCAGTAATTAGTTACCTGACTTTAAACCACTTCAATTTATCCATGGATTCCATTTTTATTTCGAGCTTGTTAAATTCTGAGCGCACAATCAATCAGCGACTATTCTATGATATATATAGGTAACGTAAGTAATGTTGAGAAACTCTTTTGATATTAATATATTTAAAGTTTCTTTTTTGTATTCTCTAATGAAAAACTATAAAACAAAATTATAAGTTAATTTATATTACTTCACTTAAAATTGTATTACTGTATATTTCTACAACAAATACAGCTCAATCGCTTATTGTGTTTCAGTTTAATAATAATATCTCAAACAAATTCAGACAACGCCATCTAGTCCCAAGCTAACCAGAGCTCGTGTTATGGGTACTAGACAACTGATATAATGGATACCTGATAAATACATGGATGCATTTTTTTTGTAAATAGATACATATTATACATAGAAAACAACCAGACCGATACAAACAATCATACTCACGAATACAAATGTTTGTACCGTGCGAGGAATCGAACCCGCGACCATCGGATAGTAAAGCGATATGCTAAACCATTAGACTACCGAGGCTGTCAATAATCAAGTTTAATCAAAATATTTTTTTGATAAATGATTCATTTTGCAGCCAAACGCGGTAAATAGTTATACGCATCACTGTGGTACATTCAAAGGAAGATCAAATTTATTAACTACGATTGTACTGGTTTCTTCATTTTTAAATCATACTGCGTAAAATGTTTGTGTACGTGTATTTGTTGTTGTAAAATAATAACATAAATAAATATAACATATCTATATATCTATCACTACATTTATTTTTAAGTATACCCAACAGTGGATTCTATGTCCTTGTGTTTAAAATAGTGTTTCATAAAATCATATTTATAAAATAATTCTTTTAAAGGTGACAAATAAACATACATACTTTGGAATCTTACTAATATTATAAATACGAAAATTTGTCAGTGTAGATGGTTAATAGTTACTCTTTCATGTAAAAACTACTTAACACATTTTGATGAAACTTTACAGTAATATAGTTTATACATCGGAATAACATATAGGCTACAATTTAAAAACATACTATGATAATTGCGCAAAATATAATGATTGCAATTGAAAACAAGAATTTGTACAAAATTAATATAAATTTTAAATGTTAGATGACCGAGTATATCGGTGTTTTATGGTAGTAATCCACTGGTCTACAACGACCGAAGTTACTGGATACATTTAGATTTATAATAGAAAGTCATCAGTCTTTCTAATAGGCAATTACCTCAGCAATTCAGCATTGCCCTTACAGGCCATCCATTTCTTTTTCCGCTTTTGTTACCCATAAATTATATTGGTTTTTGCGTAACCGGCCATTTGGGAGTCAAAAAAGTACGATCCTATTTAACTTTGCAATTATTTCTCTTAATTTTTTGTGTAATTGTAATGACAAACAATCTGACGGTCCTCCTGATGGTAATTGGTAACCGTCGTCTATATACAGGAACAGCATTACGAAAATCACGTTATCATATTACTTCCGTGATATCTAGGCCTCTTGTCTTGTAATTTCATTGTCTAACATTCTCCCTATAACTGAAACACAGTTTTGTAGTGACCTTAAGACTTGATGTGCCTAAATGCTGAATACATTAGAATCAAAAATAATAGGGGGGAAAGAGACGGAAGTACCTTCTCTAGGATTAATCTTTACAAAGTATAAAAATTACGCCACGGACTTTAATGTAGTTTTTAGTAATGGACAGAGTGATTCAAGAGGATGGTTTATATATATAATACAAGCTATGGGACAAGAGAAGAAATTCAAAGATTTGTAATCCGTGCGAATCTTGTGACGGGTCGCTGATTTCATTTTTAAATATTAAATAAAAAATTGACGGCAAAGTCTGATATGACGTGACGTTTGCACATTTTAAAATTTGGCTACGGAACGCTGTTCAGAAAATGTTATAAACGTCATTCAAATTTCAATATGACGGAAACCACAACATGGCGGGACGTTCCTTTTCATTACAACCCTTTCACTTGACGTGGGTGCGCATTAAAAAGGTTTTAATAGAATTCAGAGTAATTAGTCTTAAGAGACTTCAATCTAAATCGGATTTGGCGGACGTTTCATATTAAGGGATTGGACACCCACAGAATATTGACATTTCATAAATTATAATATATTAATATATTGACGACATAATTTGACGACCTCGGTGGTCTAGCGGTCTAGTACACCGCTTTACGACCGATGGTCGCGGGTTCGATTCCTCGCACGGCACAAACATTTGTATTCATGAGTATGATTGTTTGTATCGGTCTGGGTGTTTTCTATGTATAATATGTGTGTATTTACGGAAAAAAAAATATCTATGTACTTGTATCAGTTATCTAGTACCCATAACACAAGCTTTAGCTAGCTTAACTTGGGTCTAGATGGCGCTGTGTGAATTGTCCTGAGATTATTATTATTATTATTATTATAATTAATTTATTAATTAATAATTTATCGTTATTAACATGAAGTAATATAGTATTATAATGAATCTTACAAATATTATAAACGCTAAAGTTTGTGAGTTTAGATGGATGTTGGTTACTCTTTCATGCAAAAACTACTGAACGGGTTTTGATGAAAGTATTGTAATATAGTTTATACATCAGAATAACACATCATCATCTGCTTTTCTTTATCCCATTATTTGTGGTCGGCGTAATATGTTTTTCTCTTCCATTCATCCCTGTTCACAGTCATGTTGTGTACTTTACTTCCTTTCTTACCATATCTTTCACAGAGTCCATCCATCTCTTTTTTGGCCTTCCTCTACCCTTATAACCACCCACATTCATATGTAACACCGTCCTTAGGATATGATCTTCATTCCTACGCATTACATGTCCATACCACGATAGACGATTACTCTTCAACCTCTCCGACACCGGCGCCACTTTCATATTTCCTCTAATGTATTCATTCTTTATCTTATGCATTCTTGTCACACCACACATCCACCTCAACATTCGCATTTTAGTTGCATGCAGTCGTCTTTCATCCGTCGCCGTAAAGACGACTGCATGCAACTTTTCACAAGTTATAAAGTGTAAAGTTAAAAAGATATTGTGTAAAACAAAAAAGCGACTTTACATAGGCTATAAATTAAAAAGATATTATGTAAATTGGACAATATAATGATAAATGCAGACGATGTCGCGTCGGTCAGCTAGTATAATAACAATAATACTTCATTTGCCTAAAATACATGACTAATAAAGTAATTACTTTATGTTTAGTTTTGTTTAAATCCGTACCTACCATTACCATGTGTGAGACCACAAACATTCAGTGCGGAAACCTGACCACCGCTACTAAAAGCGTTACAAACTTCACCATTACTTATCAAACACTACGACACTTGTTTTAGCTCTATGAGGCATTGTCGGGCAATGAATAGAGTTTGGATATATTTTGGAAGCCTTTACTTTTTTTTTCTGTGTCCATCTTGCAATCAGCTGACGACTATGAACATAAGTGGTAAAAGTTACGTCGCGGGTAGAGTGTGATTCCCAGCAGAATCATCGTATGTTTAGGAGGTCCTGATTAGTCAACGGGTCCCAGTAACCTACGCCTTATAAGGCGACTTATAGTGTTGGTGACTATCAGTTGCTTGACTAGCATGTTATTTGGTGTAGCAGTGTTTATCTCTTTGGCTACTGCGTTTGTATTCTGCTTCGGATACTCATGACCCTCACAGGTGTTTTTGCAAACCAAGGAGCATTTATAAGCTGTTTGAAAATATTATTTTAATCCTTTTGTATTATGCT